GGTATGCCAGCTGTATGTCAAGAGAATATTTAAAGATACACCCTCTTCAATTCGTCTACTCACATCAAACTGTATAAGATTGAAGCGAGATAAGGGTGATAAGCCGTTAAGAACTTTAAAAAAATACACTAGTCGGAAGTAGTTCCGTCGCACGAAGAGTAAAGGTAATTTTAGTTTTTCGACAAGGGCTTTTCCTGGTGTATGAAAATCACGTGTGATCATATGAGCCACCAATTTTTGAACTGATTCAACTTGACTTTCCAAATTAGCAAAGTTATTATCATACAGAGCACAGGCGTAATCTAGTTTAGCTAATATGCAGGTTTTATAAGTTTGTAGACGAATTGAAGAGGGTGTATCTTTAAATATTCTCTTGACATACAGCTGGCATACCTGACGAGACCATTAGACAGTAGAGTGTACAATCATCGGCGAAAAGTATACTGTCTGCTGGTAATTGGACTACAATTGGTAGTTTATTTATGAAGATAAGGAAAAGTAGGGCACCAAGAACTGAACCTTGTACTACCCCGGAGAGTACTGGCGTAGGCGCAGATAAAGCAGGGGACAACACGTACTCGCTGATAGCGGTTAGTCAAATAACTAGTAAACCATTTTAGCACATTCGATGACAAACCTAGCAACGCTAAACGCGATAGAATTATTTGAAATGAGACCTTATCAAAGGCTTTTTTAAGTCAAACGCGACCAAGATGGTATCTACTGGTGGTTGTGTATTTAAATTCTTTGTCAAGTTATTTAATAGGTAAAGAAGTGCATCAATGGTTGAGGTCTTGGACCTAAAGCCAAACTGGTTATTTGACAAAAAATGTTTGAATTAAGATGGTTAGAAAGGTGATTATAAACGAATCTTTCAAGGATTTTACTAGCGATACTAAGGAGAGATATTGGTCTATAATTAGACACAATATTTTTAGGACCCTTTTTATAGGTCAGACTGACTGTAGCAACTTTCCATTTATTAGGAAATTCTTCTGTCTCGAAGGATAATTCAAAGATATGGTGCAGCTGTATAGAAATGATACTAACGTTTTTTTTAATACAGTCGCTGGGATTTCGTCTGGACTGCATGCAATATCGTCACGTAGGCTATTGATAGCGTCGATTATTTGCTCAACAGTTGGACGTACAAGGTTCAGTACTAATGTTGAAGCGAAATTTGATAGCTGAGTAGGCATAGGTCCAGCTGTGGGAAGAATAACAGTAGAGAAATGTTTGCTAAATAAGTTTGCCTTGTCCTGATCCGTCGAAGCTGTATCTGACCTACTGAACATGGTGCCAGGAAGACTTGAATTACCTTGTCTTACTCGGTTTATAGCAGTCCCGAATGTTGATGGAGAGGTAAAAGATTCTGCTAAATGACTAAAAAATGCTAATTTATCTTTGGTTAACTCTTTCTTTGCGTCTTTCCTCCACCTTTGAAAACTTTCTTTCGCTTGCGTAGTATCCCTATATTTATACTTTTGGAATATTCTGTTACGCTTTCGAACTGCGTGGTAATAACTTCGACTTTGCTTGAATAGTATAGGCTTAGATTTTATTTCTTTCTAGGGCACACAATTGTCTAGACAATTTGCTACATGACTGGACCAAAGGTTTAGTGCTTCAGTACACGTTGCAGGGTCATAATAAAGTCAGGATCAATGTTCGATAACTTGGACAGTAAGGTAGCCCATTGGCATTTTCCATAGTCACGTCGTTGTTGTAGTAAGCGAGTCCGTTCCATAAACAGGTCTTTGAATACTGTTTTGAGAACAAAATGGGGAGAACCACCTAGTGGTGGAAAATCTCTGATAGATGGACTATCCCATTCATTCGGATAAAAGATATTGTCGAGTTTCGTTTTATGTCGCGTCGTAAAAGTGGAAAAAGAGGGTGCTAACTGGAAAACTGATAGAGTGTTTAAAAGTGTTTTATGTACGTTTGGGTTATTTTCAGGATAGGCATTAAAGCCACCAGTGAGAATTAGGTAAGAAGAGGGTGTGACGTTGGCTAAGAGAAAAAGTTCTAACATCCCAAAGTAATTCTCATACTCATATATAGTTACTGATGGTTTTCTATAAGAACTACAAATGAAAATATCCTTTTTTGATTTTGGTTTTATCTTGACTAAGATTGACTCCGTCTTTTTACAAGAGGCGATAAACTGATGTGGGATCGTATGTAGAATATATATAGCAACTCCTCCGTGGGGGCTTTGAGCGGTTATTTTAATTCTGTCTTGTCTGGAGAGAGAGAGTGTCCTGGTATTTCTAATTCGCTATCCTCAACACTGTCAGTCAGCCATGATTCCTGGATGCATACAACATCTATTGCATTCTGCGAATCATTTGAGATTTTTAGTAAACTTTTTAAAGAATCAAGATTAGGGCATAGGCTCTCAATGTTGTGGCATAATATAGATAGATTCTGACTGATCTGAGCTCTTTATTTCGTCCTGTGTAGATATAACAGCAATAGTTCTTATTGTCGAATCAAAACGGTTAATACTCATCTCCAAATACTCATCTATTTTCTCTGATAAAAAAGTACACACCATCTGCCATTAACATGCTTTTTGTAAAGTTACAATCAACAGTATCAATATCATTTGTAAGATTGTGTAGTTTAGAGTTAACATCATCAATATCTTGATTAATCTTTTGTTGTAGTTTTGGACTTAGATATGGGTCATATTGTGGTGGTATTGTACAAATAGCTAATTTTGTGTCAGGGTTTGTTATTTTGAATTTGTCTATCAAAACTTTCAGATCTGTTATAGCTAAATCTGACTCCATTTTCATAATGTCAATTGTTCCAATAGACATAACAACACGTGAGCATTGATTAAGATTTTTATCTATCTGATTTTTAAGAATCATATTTGTCATGCTTTTTATAGTGGAACTTTTTTTTGTCCGAAGTTGTATGTTGACTTTATTCTCTCAATTCCTGGTTCAAGATTTTTAACAATACTGCATCTCGTAATAATCACATTTGTTATTGGATCTTGAATTGGTGGATTAATTTTTATCATATTGGATGTAGTGATCTACATTTGCAGCTCTGGTTGATCTGATGTACGAATTACTTGATCTTTCATACACATCTGCTAATCAGATTTTAGCTTTTTCTGTCAAGGCATAGAAACCAAGTTGTACGTCACAATGTATTGAGCTATCAGAGTGGTCATCCGAGGCACATGAACATAAGTAACTTGTCCAAAGTTAGTATATGACATATCAATGGTAATGTGCATGACAAATTACGCAATCGTTAAGACAAGCTGTTATTGATAGCAAAAGATACAAAGGATCATCTCGAAAAAAGAATGAAAGACGATAAACCATGGTTATATCTATTACCAACGAATAACCATACACAAAGAAATCAATCTGATTGCTTTCGTACTATTACGTAACCAGTAGGCATGTACCGCTAGTCACCGGTACAGTAATTTTTGGGAATTTTTCTCACAACTGGGTTTTGTTGGAAAAAAATTTCTCTACAAAATGAGATGTAACAGATACCGATAAATATCAATGCATGCCTAGTAAGGATTCAATTATTATTATCTTAAATTATTTATTTCGAACAGCAACAAAACGATAGATTTTATTTTGAAACAATAAAATTTTCTGCCATTGATGTGATGAACATATCGGGTGGTCCAGATATAATGAGTGATTTTTGTTTTCTGTTCTTCTCCATGCAGTCTCAACCTTTTTGGAATTATTTTTTACCAAAGGTGCGCTGTGAAATTCTCAACAAAACCATACCTAAACTTTAATTTCGGACTTCAATCAAGAAACTATGCAAATTAGACGAAAGGAGAAAAAATGAAAACTTTCTAAACTCAAAAACGATTTCCTGTGTTAGCGTTTTGAAAGTAAGAAAAATTGAATTAGCCATTTTGTAGTCCTGGCTTCCCTCTATCTTTCAGCTATACTTCACATTTTTTCACATCAAAACCCATGGGGAAATAATAATTGTTCTGTCGGTTGTCACGCATTTTTTCATTAATTTTTTAAATTCTAGGTATAGTGGTGCTTTCAGTAAAAGTCGCATAACTCCATCAAAACGAAAGATTTTTCGATGAGGTTTGTTTTGTTTTGATCAAAAATGATTGTTCTTCGCTACCTAACTGCAAAATCAAAACTTCGATCATGTTTTCCGTTTCTTACTTACACACATTGTTGGAACCTGAACATATTTTTGAAACTTCGTCCTCCAGCACATCATCTGCTCTAAAAAAGGTTTTTTATAGATCACGAGAAAGAGCACGTTCAAAATTACAAAAAGAACTGCGTTCTCACTTCTGGTACATTTTTTTACAGAAATAATAGCAGATGAAAAAAGTTCAAATCAAATATACAAAGTTTTCAGTATTTTTCCTTTCGTTTAATTTGCGTAATTTTCTTGATTGACTTCTTGAAATTAAAGTTTAGGTATGGTTTTGTGAAGAATTTCACGGCGCATCTTTTGGTTAATAAAAGTTTCAAAAAGGTTGTGACTGTATGGAGAAGCACAGAAAACAAAAAAACGCCCATTATATCTGGATCACCCGATAGTTCCAGTTCAGTAGAAATAAAAATAATAAAATTTAAAACCTAAGCTATACAATCGTTGTATTTCAAGACTGATAAGATCGTAGATGAAGTTTTAAAAACCATTTGTAGCCGTTTGTATGTTGTAGTCAATTTTCTCTTCAGTTAAGTTTTTTTCTCAAGTTTTGTTACAACGAAAATATGACAAAAACCAGAATTATTTGTGTCATGCAATGTCGTCGATTATAATAAAACTTTTTGAATTTATTTTCTGTTATTTATATTATTAGCTCTTAAGTGTCACAGCATCTTTACTAAAATATTTTTCAGGTGATTTTTCTCTATTTATTAGAAATATTAGAAAAATAATAAGAAACGATCGAGTTTTGACGAAATTAAAAGCTTTTGTTTCTTATAAATAATAGAATATTTAAACTTATTTTCTCTCTCTTTTACTCAATTATTACTCTTATTTGACATTAATATCAATTAGGAACGTGTTCATGATATTTCTACAATAGGGTGATAAAACATTTGTACTATCAACATCATTAAAGTAACATTATGAATAGTAGTTTTATAATTAACAAATTAACAAAATATAAATAAAAGAAATTTTTTAATAAATTATAAATAAATGATATGCTTGACTAATAACTTGTCCATATTTTGGCATTTTGTGTACCAGATTTCTTCAACGACCAAACAGTTATATGCATTTTATATCAAAATAGGAAATAGAAGATAGAAACTGTAAAATATCAAATAGCATTATGGTACGATTTTAACTCTAGCTATATGGCTATCAGTTGATAGGGATGCATTGAATGAGAGTCAGATTTTTTCTGAATTCACTGTAAGATACAGTAATGAATCGAGAAAAAATACTTCAATAAGTGCATATTTTCAGAAAATATATCAGATATTTTGAGAACTGTTTAAAACGAGAAGTTAACTCCTTTATAAATCAGAAGAGACACTATGTAATCAAAAATTCCAGTGGGTACGCTCACATTTATCGTAAATCTGCGACTGATAAGATGTTACAATACTCAAGTGACTGAAAATATTGGCAGATCTATTACTAGTGATTATTTTATGATTAATTTTATTTTCGAATACAAATATATGTAAATATATAACAAGTGTTAAGATAATTAATGGAATAAATAGTAGGAATTTCAAGGATGAGAACAAATGATATATTTTCTAACTTTATCAATAAGAAGAAATTCATCAACAAGGTTATGTTTTAGTTTTAAATAGGTTTTCCGCTTTAGTACTATATAATATGGTAAGAAGAGAGGCTTTGAACTCGAGAAAAAACCCATTAAGAAAGTCTATTCTAGGATTAGAAACCAGTCAATATTTCCGCCAAATTCTTAGAAGATGCTGAGAAAAATTTTCAATTTTCATTCTAATCTCTGTAACAATGCTTATTTTTTCTCAATTTTTCTCATATTTTCAGTTTACATGCTATGATTAAACTTTCAATATTAATGGTTCTTAAAAATGATCATTGTTGATTATTCTCTATTAACTCGGAAAACTCGAACAAATTCAGTGATACTTCTCTAACAATAGACGTTCGACACTCTTTGATGATTAAAACTTAGTAGAATATAAAGAATGAGAGAGAAATAAGATCGAAACGGAATAATTTTATACATTTTTTTTTCTTATTACTTATTTTACGTGAGTATACCACGTCAATAGTGTATCAAGATCTCTTATCATATTTTTTTCAACAAACTTTCATGAATTAATTTTGTTTTTTCAATAAACATAGAAAAATTTTCCTTAAAAGAGAATTTCTAAATAATTATCGTATCAAATGATAGCATAATATATTTATTGTGCGAAAAAAAATAATTTGATCAAGAGAAGAGAAATTTCAAGCATGACAATAATAAAACATAATTCTAAGGAAGCTTATCTAACATACGATAACAAAAACTCATATAAAAATCTACCCATTTATCCAGTGCACGAATTCATTTTCCATCTCCTAGACCCATGAGAGAGAGAGAGAGAGAGAGAGAAGAAGAAGTCAGAAAAATATAAGAAATAAAACAAAGATAAGAAGAAAACAAAAAAATAGAAAAAAGAAAAAAAAATTTTTTTTTTCTTTTGTAGTATTACCATCAACATCAATATATAAAGAAATTTTTTTTTTTATTAAAATATAATATACAAAAATCATTTACTACAAAGCCAACCGTTTTTCCTCAACAAATTAGAACGTATTTTCTTACCACTTCTTTCTCAAAACATAACATCAAAAAAGATTAATGTAAGTTATAACTCTCAATTTATTATCATTAGAATTAAACGTTTTCGCTCACTTTATACAAATTAGTCAACATTGTGTTGTTGTTGTTGTTGTTGTTGATAAACTCAAACATTATAATTTCATGTAGAATCAGCAGATATTATAAATGGGTCATTGGACATGTTTACTCAACTCTTCATAATATTGATTTGTTAAAAATCTGTCTATATTAAAATTTAAGAAAAACTTTTGCAATATGAAAAAGTTAGACGATATTCAGCCACATCTGAATTGTAAGCGTCTTGTAAATATATCAGTTGTCTGAATTCTAATTTCTCCTCCAACATATCCATAAATTTATCTTTCGAGTATTTTTTACTAATTACACTTTTCTTCACAAGTATAATTTACAACTACTCAGTATTTTTCTTACTTCTTCGAGAGGATTTCATATGTATTGTAGAAAATTTATTTTTTGTCTAACAGATCATATATTGATGCAAACATTTTTCTAAAATTCACTTTTATTCACATTTTTAAACAAATGTATCTACTTCAGTTTTGCCAGATCATTGAACTACAAATGGATCTCGGACGCACGTTATATAAAAAAAACATTTTAAGAAAAGTCCCCTTAATTTAAACAGCATCTGTTTTATACTGGAATTATTTTCACCCTTTGAAAGGGAAGAGACAGAGAGAAAATAGATATTCTTGACAATATATTGAGTGCGTATTTTGTATTAGTCTAATGATTTTTGAAAAGAACATTAGACAACATCTAGAACAAATCTTTCTTTTTTTTTCTTCTGTTTTTTTCTTATAAAATCCATTAGGGAGATTTGGTTATATTAGTATATAGTAGTTCTCGTCTTTTAACAAAGTTAAACTTAGTACTTTTAATTTAGAATAATGTCAAACGATGCTGAATTACGTGAAGAGTTCAATCGTCTCGATGACGTAAGTATCATTTGATTTGTTTATTATTTCTAATAAAATATCAATATGTTATGTGTTTTATTTTCTCAAGGATAAAGATGGATTTATTACCCTTATAGAATTTAAAACATATTATTCAAAACATGGAAAAGGTAATATGAATGATTCGGAAATAGCAAAAAAATTTGCTGATATTGATTCGGACAAAGATGGACTAGTTACATTTGAAGAATTTAGTCAAGCAAATAAACATTAGAAAATATTGGACTAAATTATAATAAAAAAAATAAACTCTTTTAATTTTATGTTGTTTTGTATTATATGGTGGCTAATAGGGAAATCAGAAATATTGGAGTAGATTAATCACTAAATTATTTCTCACTTTTTGTGTGTGTATATGTTATATATCATCTAATAAATGTATAGTAGTACGACAAATAAAATCAACATTTCAGTGTTTTGTGGTATAAAATATTCATCATAACAAAATTGAAAGAGGAAATAATATTAGCCGTTTAGATCACGTATCTAGTAATATTATTATTGAACATGTTACACATAATGTCAAAGGACAATGATTTTTTAAATAGTAAAACACGTCTAAATGAAATTAAAATAGACTTTTTTGACAGATACATTTTTCAGGGCAAGCTTTTTTTTTAATAGTAACATACGTTTCTTTTTAATACACAGAGATAATTTAAATAGAATGGACGACCCAAAGTGAATTTTAACGTTGCTGCTACGGTCTTTTATCTCTTTTTATGATCTCTTTTTTCTTCTCAAAAAATAGCATGTTCAATTCTTTACAAAAATCTATTGATGAAATGAATTCTTACTGAGTGTCAAGGTAAAAAAATTATGAGTATAATACGGTGAGGCCTCGAGATTAGAGATGTATAGTATGTCCTGACCCTACTCTATCTACTCTCAAATCAAAGGGTAGGGTCAGGATTTTGTTTAAGAAAGATGGATTTCAAAAAAATAATGACAATTTTCATTGATTCAATTTATTTATATACAAAAAAAATAATGAAATTATTACCAATGACATTCTCAAAATTTTCAAAGCGTAAGATAAGATCAGAGCTCTGATGTCAAAGGGTCGATTAAGGCTAGAGTTTAACAAACAGTTACTCTGCACATTTCTGCTCGAGATGATCGTCTTTGCAAAGTGCTTCTTTCAGAAATGTCTGAACCTTTTTCACGTTTGTTCGTACACTGATTTATGTCGAAGGACGATTATATGTACTTTCAAATGTACTCTTTCAAGACGCGTATAGACACTTACAATAGAAAGATTTTTGTTTTTCTAAAATGGATCAAAAATAACTAAACTTTGTGAACTTTCCGCTCATTACAGCGGCAAAAAGACATTCTTTTTAACGTTTGGGGATTTAATGCAATGAATGAGCATTTCTCTTTAATAGAAATATATCCATCCGACGTCATATCATTGTTTTTTTCATAAGAGTGGAGCCATTTCACTAAACGACACTAAACTACAGAATAAAACTGATGATTTTTCAAGAAACTTAGAAAAGAAAAAATGTGTATCACGCGATACGAGTTGATGCTTAGGAATTTTGATTAAGACCAAAAGATAGTGTTTCAAGAAAGTGAATGGGTTATACACGTTCTTTTACATGAAGAAAAACGAGCAAATAATATAAAAAAGACTTTAGTTACAAACACGGTCATCTTGAGGCCTCGTCGTATTATACTCATAATTTTTTTACCTTGACACTCGGTAAAAATTTATTCCATAAATAGATTTTTGTAGAGAATTGAACGTGCTATATTTAGGAAAAAAAGATCATAAAAAGAGATAAAAAAAGTATAGTAGTAACACTGAAGTGTTTATTCATTTTGGACCATCTGTTGGTAATATAATTACGATATTCTTTAAAGCGTTTCGAATTAGAATACTTCGAAGCAAAGAAATTTAACATTCACATTTGAATGCAAGCTCTAACAGACATCGTTAACAACCGTTGTTATCTTAATAGTAAAAATAAATCGAAATTTATTCGACTTTATTATATAGAAGTCTTAATAAACATTCTCAAATATTAGATACTAGAAAAATTTCATATATTTCTGATTAATCAAATTCAAACTGGAAAAATAAAAGTATAATGGCCTACGTCAGCAAAATTGACACTTTCAAGTCAGTTAATCGTGCGCTTAATTGCAACTTTTAAACAGAACTTTTGCGTGATTAATTTCATTTTTAAAAAAATCGATCATTACTTATGATTTCAGCAAAAATGATCGATTAATAGATGATTTTTGTTGATAACACAATTAATTGTTAAAAGTTAGCCGATTTTCACAATATGGATAACTATAAAAATATAAAAACTTTTAAATTATATAAATACTCAAAATCTAATCTTATATTATCATAAATGTTGGATGTGAACAATACTATTCTATCTATCCCTTGTTTTTTACACTGTTAACTACATAACATTCAAAAACTTGTCACTATTTTCTTGTCATACCTTTTTATCTCATTCAATCACTGTTTACTTTCTCAAATACTGAACATTCTTTGAAACACATTCCATTTCTATTTTTTTTCTTAACAATAACAATAACGTTTAAATCGTTGATATGATGCAATATTTATCAACATTTTTTAATCCTATAGTTTTAGTTAAACTTGTATATGATGAATGATGACCGTAAAGTTTTTTCTACAGAAAAGAAAATTACATAATGATGTTTTAATCCATATCTTCAATTGTTATCTTCGCATATCTCTTCTCGATAATCACATATCTAACGCTAAATTGAGTTCAGTATAGTAGAGGAATCATCAATAAGCAGTAGAACTATATAAATAAAACAATAGATGAAATATTGTTTTCATTATTTTTAACTTTTGTAACGAACGCATCTTCAGTTTAAAAAAAAATGTTGGATAAAATACTTAAGAATAAAAATTCCATATTTATTGATGATGATCTAACCGATTTAAGTTGGCTTGTACAATGGAAAGAACAAACATCATTTCAAGATAGAAATAATTTCGAAACAAAATTTTTGGAATCAAAAATTAAGCAAAAACCATTAAAATATCGTAAGTAAAAAATGATTTATATAACAATAGAACTAAATTAAGGTTAATTAGAAATAATTAAATATTACTTTAAAAACAAAAATACATTTTATAACTTTTATAATAAAGCGTAACTAATGAATAATCAGAAGTGCTTTCTGTGACATATTTATAACGTCTATATTGCTTATTATTCTATAAAATACTCAACCGGATTTTTGAACACGCAAAGCAGCTCACAAATGTTGTGAATCTATAGCATTAAAAAAAAGAAAAGAAGAGAAAACCAAAAAACAAGATTATTTTAATCAAACACGATCCTTCACTTAGTATTGACCAGTGATTGATATTAGACAATCTCACATGATCTACGGATTATCAGCTAACGAGGAAACCTCTCAAGGTGATAAAAAAAGCTTTTTTCTCGGAATCTAGTGGGTTATAGGTTATCGACCATGCTGATTACGAATATGACTATGGGGGTGGCCCTTCAAAGAATCGGTTTTCTAGAAAACCAGTTTTTCAGAAACTCTGAAGTATAACCAGAACCTTTCTTAATGAGGTATGATTGTAGGCCGCACATTTCTGATTGAAATGAGACATCTCCCAGCTCTACGTTACCTTTCTTTGCAAATTTAAAGAATTTACAAGAAGAGCCCTAAATTAATTTCTTCTTATTTGTGTAGCTTTGAGCTGACAATGAATATTTGGGGCTTTTCTTGTAAATTCTATAAATTTGCAAAGAAAGGTAATGTAGAGCTGGGAGATGTCTCATTTTAATCAGAAATTTGCAGACTACAATCATGCCTCATTAAGAAAGGGTCTGGTTATACGTCATCCTAAAAAACTGGTTTTCTAGAAAACCGAATCTTTGAAGGGCTAAGGGCCACCCCCATGGTCACATTCGTAATCATCATGGGCGATAACCTATAACTCACTAGATTCCGAGAAAAAAGCGTTTTATCACCTCGAGAGGTTCCCTCATAAGATTCTAACGCACTGATGTGACAGCTTGTTTTACTACGCCATCTATAACTGATATTAAAAATTGAAAATATGTTTCTATAAATCTGTATTTACTTTATGATTCGCAGACGATAGAAATAAATATTTTTTTGGAGTGACCGAACAGCAACAATATCATAAAATATCTGAGATGAATGAGTATATTTCTGATTATGATTATAACAGTCAATATATTTATTATCCGTCAATTGCATTCCCCAATTATAAAATCAACAATTCACCAGCCTTATATAATAATAACAAAAAGAAACGTAAAGAATGTTACAATGATCTCTACTGTTGTGTAGATTATGCTAGAAAACGTTTTCATTATGATCAATATAGTGAACAAAATGAAAATTATTATCCCCCACCCCCAAACAATTTTCATTCTAATAATTATGTTTGTCCATCATCGTTAAATTCATTAGGAAATAATTCATCGTTAGAATTTACTCTATTACCAACTTCTTCGACAACAGCAATAACGACACCCATCGTTTCTTCTTTCTTTTCTCCTTTATCACCACCTAAATCAGATGAAAATTGTTTTAATGATTCATACGAACCAGTACAAATGACATTTGATAATCAAATTCAAATGCATCATTCAACTGTCAAGAATTTTGAATTAACGAAATTAAATAATAATAAATGTGAGACTTATCCAGATGATATTGAACAATTATTAGAAATATTCAAAGATGAATATAATCATATTTTATCATCAGAAACAGATGACACATTAAAATTGTTAGAACATCAATCCGGTTATTCTTCAAATGGTATTGAAAATATTACAAATTTTTATTTATAACTAAAAAACAAAAAATATTTATCAATATCGGAATCTCATTTTTTTGTTTAAAATTGTTTAAAATTTATATATACGTCTCTTCTTCTTTTTTTTGGTTTTTTTTTTATAATAAATTCAGCATTACCTGTAAACGAGTTGTCAACAGTTGTTTATAAAATTACGTATAAATACGTTCAAACATCAAATATGATTTTTAAAATTAATATTACTTTTCATTATCACGAGAAAAGCTCTTTCTACTATAACAGATTATAGAAAAATATTTTATTATTAATTAATTCAATTTTTAGCAGAACTATTTTAATAATGCAAAAAAAAAAAAATTTAGACAAAACAATACATAAAATAACATACACACGCAAACATTATTTAAAGTAGATTAAATTACATCGACATTCACTCATAGACACAAAAAATAAAAACGACTACTCAATTATTATAGAAAGAAGTAGAAAAAACAAAATATTAATCAAGAATAGAAATTATTTTGTAGTAAATAGACCAGACAGCACCACAAATCGGCAAAAAATAAGGGATTAATTTCGATTTGTACAGTAGTTAAAGCTAAAAAGTGATCAATGAAAATTATTGCAATCATCAAATGATGAAATTAATATTCTTTCTATCCTATCAATTCATTAATAATTAGTTAATTATGAATTGATTTATTCATATATTTACATCATTTATGTAAAATACATGAATCTCGCGATTTGCACGAAATAAAAACCAACAACATATCATTTTAAATTTTGTTTTTTTTTTTTCATTGAAAAATAATTGTTCTAATAACAAAATATTTTAGAGTATAGAAAAATAATAAATGCACAATAGAACAATGAATATTAAAGTTTTTAAAAGTTTTGTTTCGATTATAAATATTTTAATAAGAATTAGGTAGGTCAACAGAATAAAGCATGTTGAGAGCACCAAAACGTTAACTAAAATAAAAAAATGATTGGCGTTCTCAACGTCCACAAGCACATATAAATACAAAAAAACGATAAATTGTGCATTTTTAGTATAGAATTAGATAATTAAAGACAGAAGTAAAATCCTTCTTTTCTTATTGAAATGCATATAAATCGACACAATGTTGCACATGTATCCAAAACGACTTGAACAAAAAAAACAAAAAAAAACAACAATGATAAAAAGAACGATTGACTTTGAAACCAAAAATATATATATGTGAATAAATTATGCTATAATATATATATATATAGAAATATATATACATACACACACATCAAAACGTGAAATAAAATGAAGTATCATCAAACTGTTGAACAGCATGTTCTTGAGTAATAGCTGCCAATTCTTTTAAAAATTCATTAAATATCACAGCACAATAAGCAACATTTCTCGTTTTTGGATCATCCCATTCATTGAGAATATTTGATGGTAAAGCAGCTGATGTTAATATTCCATCACGAATATTAATGAATCTAAGTTATATGAAAAATAGTATTAATAATAGTGTATAAAGATAAGAACAACTGACAACAACAGCTAGTTTAGCAGAAACATACAATATTGAATTATTGGATATGGTAATGACAGCCGTTTTGTATATAGAATACCGAACATCTGGACTCTCATAATTAGAGGTGTTAGCCGATAGACTTTTCGTCGTCATCGGCATGAAGAATACAAAAGAAATTTGCAATCGGCGGCGGGCGTACAGTTTATTTCTTCAGAAATTTCGACATTCGGCGGGTCTTTTGTAAAAAACTTTGCTGCATCGGCGGCATGTCTAACATCTCTACTCATAATTACGTTGAAAATTCGTATGAATATTTTATCTCATCCAAACACATTCAATTTACCTATCCTAAGAGTTATACATACGTATATCTATCTCAAATCTCTAAACTAACCGGAAACTGTGTGTTCAGTTCCATATCGAAGACTTCATCATAGCTAAAAAAATATCGTTTCAATGCTTAATCGAAACTCGTGCTAAGTTTGCAATATTTTCATATCTACATAAAGCGTGAAGTACATTCAAAAAAAAATACAATTCCTTTCCAACTCTTTTAATCTTCCTAGTTTAACTTTAGCAACAGTTTTACTAGAAGCACACAACATTTAAAATTTGAATATAGAGAAAGCAAAATAGTCATAGAAAAAGAAGAATTTACTGTGAATTCAAAGAGCTAAATGCAAAGAGAAGAGTAGTGGCAGACAACCAAATGAAAAAAATGTCGAATATAGCAAATATTACATACTTTATTGATGCTTTATTTACTAATGTAACATGTGACTGATCTAACGAAGGTTTTGATCCAGATCTTTCATTTGGACGACCACGACGGAAAAAATCAAGTATACGATTTCGACGTGATCCACGTTCTAAATAAATAAAAAAAAGAGTAAAAGATTAAGCAAATCGTAGACTAAAATATATTTATTTTAATTTCTAACATGCAATGAACTATCCTAATAAAAATTTTATTTCATGCAAATCATATTCGCGCAATCGCACAATATAAAGGACAGAAAGAACAGGAAAAAGAGGTCAACCTTTTGATATCGACGATTTTGCAGTGGAGTGAATGTTTTCATCATCTGCTATAAACGAAAAATAACTGTCTTTCTTTGTTTACTCCAATTCAAAGTATAAAAAAAAACCAAAATACAGTTGATAAATACCTTTTGATGGATCAACTGATTTTGATCGAGTTCGCGATGGTGATCGCGTACGTCTTTGTAAATCTTCATATTCCTATATAAAATGAGAAGAAATTAAGATGAATATGTCAATTTCATTTATGACAACCTACTTTAGCAGTTGCTTCTCTTTTGTATAGACAATCTTGAGCTTGTTCAACGAGATAAGAAAAGTCATTGAATGTCTGAGATGTTGATTCAAGTTTTGACTTTAAATTAGATAATATCTTAAGGGAAAGAAAAAAGTGAAAATTAAAATAAATGCACATCAATATTTCGTTTGTCATACTTGAAATAAAGATTTGACATTTGTTTCAAGTACAAGACTGTGATTAAGAAGTAACGATCTTAACAATGGTTGAGAATAATAAGCTAATCGAGCTATAATACCGGTTAAAAGTAGATTGACATATAACGAGTTTTGTAACATATTTTCCAATTTAATAAATATCGTTCGTAAAAATGGTCCTAAAATATCAAATTTTTATTCAAAAATTTTATTTTTCTTAAAAAAAAATATCATTTAGTTTTCTTACCAACATCAGATAATTTTCCATTTCCTATTTGTTGTTGTGTTTGAATTGTACTAGTGGCAATTGCTGATGTATTATTAGCAGTTGTTTGATTATTATTATCATTAATCATTTGAGATAAATCCATACTAACTGATTGTTGTAACGAATACATTGAATAACTTGATTGTGTTGTTGATATAAATGGATTAGTACCCTCGTTTGTATCGGTGGGAAATAATAATTGATCACCATTTTCTTGCTGTTTATAAGTAACATTTCCATTTAATATTTTTTGTTTTTCAATTTCATCTGATAACTGTAAAATATCACGCACAATTTCTTCAGCATATTGTAAAGCTTTAGACGATATAAAATGACTACTACCATTTAGATCAATAGATTGATCAAGTACAGTTAAAAAATCATTTAAAGAATAGGGATTTGTTGCTTTCGAGCATATTTCAGAAAGGAGAGATGTATCAAGCGTTAACGTTGACAATTTTTCGATTGAAATGTCTTTTTCTTGCTCTATTATATGGTCATTTACTATCACTTCGTTCGTTATATTTAGTTCAGTTACAGTATCGAGAAGTTCATTCAACAAAGTTCTTATAATATTTTCATCCACACTCTCTGATAATTCATCAGATAAAATTTTTGATTCTGAAAAGTTATTAATTGATGATGAAAAATGTTCATTCATCGTAACAAACGTGTTTAAACATCCATTTAGTGTATCAACACACGTTCTGATACTATCCGACAAATATATATTTGATGGTGCAATTGACGATTTTGTCGATGATGTATCATCACTATTTGATAAATCTCCAACGTACGAAAATGAATAATAATTATTATAATATTCGTCATCATCTTCATTTTCTTCTGTATCATAAATATGCTGTTTTTGATGATTTTGATGATAAGAATGTTCACTGTTTTTATGTACATATTTTTTCAATAAATCATCTGGAACTGGTTCACCATTTGCTAACCACGATGGTAATTGAAATTCATTTTTAATAACTGTTTCATTTTGCTTCATAATTCCATCTGTAACATTTTGATCATTATCGATTGCTAGACTTGGAGATACTTGTACATCATTTTGTGAATAAGTATCTAAACCATCTTCATGAATACCTGAATCATTTGATGATGCTACATTTTTACCCATCATTGTTGTCGGTTTTATCAGACCATCACCCAATTTAGATAATTTTTTATTAGAACTAATTTGATTATTATTGTCTATTAACGATGATATACTGCTAGCTAATGAAATTAAATCAGAATCACCGATAACCGATTCAGACGACGGATTTTCTCCATCATAGGGAGCTGACCATTGTCGACAAGCAATTCGACAACGTAATATTTCAAAATGAGCATCCTATAAAGTAACAAATTTTTCCATTAATAATTTTAAACGAATCATAACATTTTATTTACTTCCAAATAAGCACTAAATGTGCATTCATATCGTTCGTGCGATGTATCATCAAAACATACGCGTTGTTGCTGTTTTGACTGTTCACTATAGAAGAAAAAACAAAATTATTAGATAAAACAGACAATATAAAAAGCATTCTTATTTTACTTTTGTGTTGAATCAACTAAATTATTCTTATTTAGAAATGATGGTCTCAATGATAGAAATCTTTCGACATTCTTTCCATAAATTTCCATATCACCAATATATCGTTTTTGACTACACATAACATGACGACACGGAATAAGATACCTTTAAAGAGATGAATTAATAAAATAAAATATTTGAACTATTTTTATAAACTTACATAAATATAAGACGATACATCACATCTTCACAATTGAGATTAATTAATGTATGAAACAATCCAAGTGAAACAACTCCTAACTAAAAATTAACGAAGAATAAAAATTTATTATTGTATAATTTTAGAAATCAAGACATACTTTGGTATTATTATTTATTCTTTGTATTAGAGTATCCAAAAGATTTATTTCATCTATTCTTGCACAAAGAATAAATCTTAAAAATACTTTTAATAATGCTGGTTCGTTGACTGTACGTAAAAATAAATCGAGATATGCTGTTGCGGCAACAACTTCATCCATTGTATTCTAGACAAAAAAAAAAAAAAGAAGAAAAAAATATATAAATTACATGAGATTTTTTTGTTTGTCTAATAATAAAATATCTACAATCAAGACAAAGATTTGTCATGCAGTAAAATCATGCACACAATCACGGTAAAACATTCCATATTTTTGTTATATTAAAAATGTACAAAAAAACAAAAATTAAAATTCAAGGGCATTAAACATCTGCGTAGAATTTCTTCAAACATTAGATCAAACATTGGTTGTAAATAAAAGAAATATAACTCAACTGTTTATTTCCTTCTACATCAAATCAATGTGCTTATCTATTTGTTGTGTTCAATTTAGCACAAAATAAATTAACGAAAATAAAATGATATGTAAGAGCAAATAACTAAAGAGGAAAACCGTTCGATCATTACAGCATTCCGTTAATTAGAACAAGTATCTCAACTATTAATGGTAGCAGCTTTCCTTCATATAGCCATAAAATTTTTGTATATAACTTTTGAGTAAAGGAGCAAAGACAATTTTAGCGTAAGGAGACAATTTCTAGGAATTAGTTCAAGCAGCAGGAAAAAAATCACGTAAAAGAAAGATAATAATGAAGAAAAGAAGAAAAAAAATCAAAAAAAAAACAAGATATTGTTTTTTAACGATTAAACTAATCACTAAAACTAAAAATGTTCAATATATAAGATGCTAAACAAAATAGGCACACATACAAAACACATTAGCAATAATTTGAGCTATTATAAACTACAAAGTATCAAGATAAAAACTATGTCTGCTAAATAGTCTAATTTAGACCAAGAAGATATTTACCGAAAACTGTTGCAATTCTAAGAATTTCGCCGGCATAGCATGAATTTCCTAAGAAATAAAACACACATTGACACTGACAAAGAGAAAACAATGTGTGTGTGTGTATGTGCGTGGATATACAGTATAAAGACACTAAACGATAATTAATTCAAATACAAAGCATGTAAAGTAAATAATAATAATAATAACATACAAACAAATGCTAAAGATAAATGAGTGGAGAATCAAAGCCGAATAAATACAATGATAATCGATCTAGACTACCACTGTAATTAAAGTCATACTATTAGATAAAAAAAACAAAAACACTCGAGTATCATCATAATGTATACATTTTGCAAAAGTCATTATTGAATTTTGCAAAAAATCAAATTTTAAAAATCTTACAGTAAATGTTAAAAAAAAGAGAACTGTTGAGAGAAATAATAACTGGATTTTTCTATACAAAATATGATGACAAAGTCATTAATCTCAATATAAATGAAGCTATGGAAAGAGATTCGCATACAAAAAACAAACCAGTTCACCAACCAAAACTTATGTATGTATAAACATGCATGGATAGTCATAGTACAGAATAAAGGGAATTTTTTATCATCACCAAATACCCCGTGCAAAAGGAAATAGAAGAGAGCAAGATAAGACCTCATATTGTAACTGTTGTTGATGTGTGGATGTGATAATTGAAAAAATTCTATTCATAGGACAATGCTAAATAAAAGAGATTAGCATACACATGCTTTTTTGAGAGAGAGAGAGAGAGAGAGAGAAAGTAAGAAGAAAAAAGCAATGTATGCGTGCAGCCATCGCAACATTTTTTCCATCCCCCAAAGTTATTGATAAGTAAAAAACAAAATCTATTCGTACTTGATGAATTGCTGGTCCGAGTACGGGAACAAGAAATCCATGATAAACATATTGTATTAAATGATGACCAATGGATGGATGAGCAATCTGTAAAGCAGAAAAAATCATCAAAAATTCACAATAAAAAAACAGAAATAATCTTTATACCTGTATGACATCGTTGCAAAATTGTAATGAATTCATAAATTGTACTAATGATGCCGTTTCAGACCATTCTTTTTTCGTTAAATGATACCAATCATCATTGTAAAACGGAAGACGATGAGGTAGATCCGAATATAATGCACTCAATCCAGTGGCCAAAATCTAAAACAAGATGAATTTATACTTATGAAAAAAATTATTTTAGCGTTTCGTTTTAGCTTACTGGACAAAAATTTGTATTTTCCACAATATATTTGGCGATATGTTCATTTCTACTTGATAACTGCATAATGAGTAATAGTGCATCTCTTGCTTGTTGACCTATATAAAATGAAAAGACAAAAATGAGTTTATATAAATCTATCGAGGAATAAAAGATAAAACAAGCATTAGAAAAACACAAAACACTTTCTTGCCATTGCTAGTTCTGTTAGTTAAAAAGCATTTGTTAAAAACAAAATAGAAATAGATTACACGCAGAATATTTAATGAATGAGAAAAAAATAACAACAAAAATACAAAGCATGCAAGGTAATATTTCTTGCTTTTAACAAAGCATGCGTTTAATCTCACACCTGTTGTTATTCCCCGTGATGCTGGTCCATCTTAAAAACACACATATATCCATTTTTAAATGTTGTGAACAAAATAATTATAAAATCCTATTCGTTATCTACTGAGCAGCAAAATTATTGAGCAAAATTAGAGACATGTTAAAAATCAACTGTATTTTATTAAAATTTCTACGATTTAAATAAAACAAATGAATCGATTAGAACCTAATAATAACTTGTTTTTGTTTCAATTTTGAGCTGTACATAAAAAAAACGAAAGAATCTCTCTTTCGAAAATTTTAGTAATAAAACATGCAATAAATAAATGTACATTTTATTTACTCTCTTACCCGTTAATTCAGCTCGATGAACAAATGGGATTAACAATGAAAATATAATAAATCTCGCTGGACCTTGTTCTGCACTAATATCAAAACATAGTTCTAACAATGGTGTACTTTTTGTTATACTGACACAAACCTTAAAGTAAAGATATTATTCAGAAATACACTTTATTTATTTAAATCTACACTTACTTGATTCAGTACAACGATCATATGTTTTTCGATTAAATCGATGCATGATGATGACTCACAAGATCTCAATAAATTTAACAATGGTTTAAACTAAAAAAGAAAATATTAATTGTCTTTTACAAGCTAAATAAACATCATACGTACAATTTGTTTATGAAATAAAAGTTCATGTCTTGAACGACTTAATAAATATTCGAAAAATCGAAGTTGATGATATTTTAATTCATGAGCATATTCGGGACAACTTAATGACCAAATAAAAAATGTATCAAATATTGATTCGGATATAAAATATATCAGAACAGGTCCTGATTGTTCTTGTACGGAGACTTCATCGGTGAGTAATTGTACCATATATTGAAAATGATTGATAACACATGTGGTATCATCTTGATCAATTAAAGATTTATTAAATATTTGTAAAATTTGCTTCCAGTGTTGACGTAATACCTAAAACAAACAGTTATATAAATTAAACAAATAAATCATTTGTTCATACAATATAAAGAGATAAATGGACCATATTTAAAAGTTAAAAAAACTATACCATTATGAGTAAAAAAGAATATTTTTTTTTCAATAAGAATATGACTCACTAAAAACATTTTTCAGATGGAAATATCTTTTATTAATCCAGTTCTAATTTTTAATAATTTTTAATAAAATCATAGATCTCATATTTTTCTACTTAATATCTGTTACCAATAATTGTTCTAACTATGAATGATTGACTCTTGCATGAACGAAGAAGATGTGAGAAATAACATACTTGAACTGAATGTAGTAAAAAAAAAATTTATATAACAACATTTTCTACTTCGAAAAGATTTTATTTTTATTGAAAAAGAATGTTTATTCATTTACTGTTTTAGAAATTTGAATTACATGACACAAATAGATGGTAGACTAACTTCCTTCATTAACGATATTTTCTTACTTTAAGCTACATTTTTAGTATTTAGTACCTCAAGACAATTATTTTCAATTTGACACTGACCATTTTCAGTAATCATTTTGTTTTTGTTCTCCTTCATATTTAAGAATGTCATTCTTGTATGACCTTTATGTTGATGAATAAAGTAAAAATCATTCGTCTATAGAGTAAATGAGATCGAAAATGATGATTGATAATAGCAATCCAAAAAAAAAAAAAATTAGTGAGAAAAATCGATAACGATAACAACACAGCATCAGTAACTAAAAACAAGAACAATGATCAAGGACATTTAATGAAAATAATCAGAAACATTTTTTTCTCTAAAAAGTATAGAAAAAAACGTATTGTCCCTAGAATATAGCGTGACATTTGAGTAAGAAAAAAAAATTTTTTTTTTTTTCTAGACTACTTAATTTGTTATCCTTGACGTATGCAATTGTTATACAAAACGACAATGGTAAGAGGGAATACAGATGTTTATGTACAATTTGTACAGATAATGAAGCGTATCGATGAATAAAATTGCCAAGATAATTCTTTCAAGTAGTTGACTACAAAAACAGAAGAAATACTAGAAGAAAAAAGAAAAGCGTAAATGACGGTTGTTTCTCTTATGTTATCTTTCTCCCACTTATAATATGGTGATACACTCTATTATCACCAGTATTAGTTGATATAGAGACCTAAAAAATATATAAACATCATATCAAACTCACACCGAAAACATTGAGCCTATTGCACAATTTCAATCGTTCTGTAACATAGAGGATCACAAATATTAGATGTATACCAAACCAGTAATTAGAAATTCTCCTTTTTTTGCAGAAAAACACTAAAAAATTCAATTTCCATACTATCTGAGAGTGTGAAAATTTTTGCACTGATTCAATATCCGGACACAGACGATGACGGATAGAAAATGAACGGTGAATTTACTCCTATAGTTTTCAGCAAAACTAAGTTCATCTATTCGGGGAGTCCAACTGGATTCGTACAAATTGATTTTGTGTTTTCAATTACTATAGTGAAATTTTTTCACTTATATTTTGATAGAATAAAGCGTATAGTAATAATCAACAGGTCAAGGAAACAAATTAATTAACATAATATAACTACTGGAATTAAAAATAAATTCTGAAAAGGAACAATCAACACTACTGAGCTAATTATTACACCTGATTAATTCTAGACAAAAAACAAAACAAGTAAATTACTGTCAATCCTTTTTACATACGACAAACGCACTTTTACAATATAAAAGAGAACAAATGTTCGTATCTGCAATGATCGATTAATTTATTTTCAATATCAAATCATTTTCTTTATTCCGGATAAGAACCGATGGTCCGATATAAAACTTTCACTAAGAAAGTCTACCTTCATTGCATATCCATCAATCGACGAGAAAAAAATGAGTAAAAATTTCAGAAGTAGTATATGCAACAAATAGCTCTTCAAATAAATGATCATTTGGGTAGCAAGATAGTACAAAAATAAACAATAGCTTAGCTTCAACAGTTATGGAAAAAATATTTAGGTACTTTCTTCTTGTATAGATCGTTCACTCAGCAGTGGACTCTGCGTTGTTCTTTTGGTTTGTGATGATTATGTATCACGATTCTATTTTTATGGCAAACACACCCTCTCATATTTCCGAACATATCACATGTTGCTAGAGCTTTACGATATTAATTAAAAATATAACAGCAGATCAAAAAAAGTTTTTCAAAACAAGAAACTTACTGTTAATTGAACGTCGTCACTATCGTCCTCGAAGCTTTCAGAGCTATGATGGCGTTTCCAGTGATAACTCATCCCAGTACCAAGACATCTAAAATAGATTGAAATTGTAGTTGGTAATTTAAAAATATTTGTCTGTCAGTATGGAATAAACAAACATTATTTCTGAATATTTACTGCTCAAAAGACTTGAATAGCATCAAACTTTTCATTGTTCGAGATTTTGATACAGTCATCCCATGTAAATTCATTGCGTCTGAAAAGACGCTGTTTGACGCGTTTTTTTTATAGAAAAGACGCGTCTCAACGATAAATGGCGTTTAAATGCGTCCAGCAGTTTTAACCAAACCGGGTATTAACGCGGTTTCTCATGAAAAATTTCTCAAAAGCGTTTAAAGGCTAGTAAATGGCGCATTTTCGGAGCGATTAAACGCAACATAAAACGAATTTACAGACGCATCTACGATTGAAAAATATTTACATGAGATTGCAGAATTTGTTCCTCAAACTTGGATGCTAACTGATACAAGGTATGTTGCTCGATCGGTGCACAGGAAGTTTGCTAGTAATTAAGAATTGTCTTTATCTCTCTGCAAAGCTCTCAGTTCATTGACTACTTATCTTCAGATGTTCAGAAAGAGCCAATTTTGATAGGTCATTTAAAAATGTAAATATAACACATATTAACGAGACCGAGCAATTGCGAAGTCTCTGTATTTCTAGCTATTGTTTGACTATTATTTACTATTTTTTTTATTATGCCATTTCCAAAACGTCCGTGTATGGCTGCGTCCTCGCCCCACTCACTGTCACTCGAAGTGTTGTGTTCTTGTGATCAAATCGTTAAAGGAAATGGCAATGCTCTGCAATGTGACAAGTGGTTTCATATCGGATGTGCTAATGTATCGCCTGAAGCATATCAAACGTATCAAATATTAGGTCAACAGCAACAATTCTCAAATTAGTTCTGTACAAAGTGTCAAGGTGGTCCCTCAATCATCCGTACACCATCTCGTTGTTTACTATCGTTATCGACCCGTATCGACAAAATTGAACAACATAATCATATAATAAATGATAATTATACAATGCTATCTAATCAATTCTGTCGATCTACACGAACAACTTGAGTGAGTAAAACAACGGAATATCGCGGTTAAAAATCTTGCACCAATTCGAGATGCAAATGACATACAAAGCATTACTGGTTATATCCACAATCATTTACAAATTACCGCTCCATCGGCGTCTATCGACTCCGTTGTGCGAATCAAAACTTCTACGGCACTGAATAATAATCAACCGCCTCTTCTTGACATTTGTTTTAATGATTTATCGTTGCGTTTAACTATTCTATCTAAAACGTCATCTATTAAAAACTCGTAAAATGATAATGTTAAACGTATATTTATCGGTAAATATTTAACCAAACAACAGTCATAGCCAGCCTATGAAGCTTCCCAACGCGGTAATCAAACATTAGCACCGATTGACACTGATCTAAGTCAACAACAACAATATCGTGCAGCTAATGATCAACATGACAAACGTAATCATAATGATTGTTTTCCTACCATCTCATCTGTGTAATGTCGTTCATCTGTACAGATAAACAGCAAATATCTGATAAGACAGTGCAATAACCAAGACAATCTATGTCTCAAAATTCTTTTTTTGTATCTTGGAAGAGAAAACCGTTGTACGCATCTGTTTAACGTACTACTACAAATTTAGATCTAATACTGGTTACTTCTAAATAGACAAAGAAATTTTGCCAGGGAGATGATCAATTCCGACTACTAGTAGAAAACTATAGTTCGCTGGTATTAAAGAAACAAGAAGAAGATGCAATTATATTAGACGCGGTTTGACACATCAGTGGTTTAGTTGACTAAAAGTAACCAAATGAAAAATGAAGACAATCTGTAGTTCTATTACAAGTTTGAAAGAATAAATAAACAAAAAGTTTAAACGCTTTAAAAAGCGCTACGTACATCAACTCAAATCAATTAACGGAAACAAATGACGTGCGATCAATTGACTTACTAATAGTTAGCTACTTTTAGATAGCGCATTACAGTCGAATGAAAAAACAAGTAATAGACTCCAGAAATAATACACTTATATGAGAATTTGAAAACTTAAAAATACAAGTTAAGTTTATAGGAACTTTTATAGCTCATGAGAACCCCATTGGATATAACTCAACTTTTTTAATTTTATCAGAAAAGTAGGACATCTGTTGGATACGACCATACACACGCCATGACACTTTAAACATAGGCGATTTGTTCTTTTTCCTGTTCACCTCAGAGGTGACTTGAAAGTTTCAAGTTATAAGTCCAAGATGCTTGTCAGAACAATCTAAAAATAATGAAAAAGCTATAATATGCTACATTGTGCTTCAGTGGCGGATCGTGGGTGAACGTGCCCTAAAGAACGTATTTAATGCAAGTACTTGATTGCTTGCTTTTCTTTTTTAAGTGCTTACTTAAGTCAGTACTCAGAAAAGTTGGCAAATATTTTCAAATCTACTTACTTCCACACGAACTTTTTTCAAATAGTTCTACAAGGTTGCAATACTGACTGCAAAGTAGTATGTGAAAGCATTTGCAGTTTTACTTGTATGGGTTAAAATGATGAGGGTTTTTATCGTACGATTTTGAATATTAAAATCACTCATAATTACCCATGTAATCGTTTGCGTTCGAAAAAACGCGTTTGAACGCTTCAAATGTTTCATTTCTAGGCCGTTTTTAAGCGTTTGATGAACAAAACGCGTTTGAACGCTACTTGTCAGATAAACGCGTTCGAACGCGTTGGTATAGAAGCGAAACAAAAGGCGTTTGAACGGTGCAAATGTTTCATTTTTAAGCCGTTTAAACGCGTTTGGATTGCGTTTATAAACGCCGTTCGTAAACGCGTTTTTTAGAGCCGAAATTGTTACATGGGATATAAGAGCGTCTTAAAGAGTAGATGATGTAAATCGAATTATATTTTTTTCCCTTAAGAAAACATGTAAAATCATCTAAAATTTTTACATTTGACTCCGAAGGATATACCAGAATAAATAATATTTGTCGGAAACAAGGTAAAATAATTTTAAAAACCATAATTTCAAACTTATCTTTTCAATTGTGTTAATCCTACACATGATATATCGTTTCTAATATACATAATACATTCACCAACCCTTTTACTTAAATCTTAATCTTTCCGAAACACATTATAATTAGGAATTTCTACTATTTGACCATCAACGGGACTCAACCAAGATTCAACTGTTCCTGTTAGCAATGGATTTTCATTTTAAGCTAGTTCTCGTACAAAATATAATTTTAGAAATTTAGTATTTTTATATAAGTATTATTATTATTAGTCTATGTGTGCTGTAATCATCTCATTTTAGGCAACATGTGTACAGATGGTGATAATATAAAACGTTGAATTTTGTCATTAAGTCACCTCATCCATGTCCTCTAACCAAAGTACGTAGTCAGATCAAGCATATTCATTTGTCTATACAGATATGCCACTCTTCGATCAAATCATTGCGACTAAGACTGGTATATGTTGAACATAAAATGATGTCACCCTTTTTCAGTATAGTAAGGTACTTTTCTGCCCTTACAAAGATTATCCAGTTGGTCTTGTCGTCCATGAATTTTACGTTCAATAAGCTTTTTCACCTTTCTATTTAGCTAGATTCAGGTTTTTTTTAATATGTCTCCCATATTTACACGCTTTTGATTAAGACGACTGTATATTGAAAAGTCACACTTATCGGAAATAACATCATTCTCTTATCAAGACTCAGATACGACCGTATGTTATAGAGAAAGTATACTAGTGAATTCTGTACGTTTTTCATAGCATATATATATATATACTGTACAACAATGATTGTGCGTGTTTTATTTTCTCTGTGCGTTATTTCTGATCGAGCATTATCAAATTAGTTATCCTCTTTCAAGTAGTAACGTATTTTTTCACGTTTTGTTTGTATATTCCAAATAAATCCGACGGTAATGTTCCTGTTTTCCTAATAATTACTATATTTTACGTTTGTATTATCACAAAACAAAAAAATATTCTATTTTAATTATAATTGTAATTGGACGTTTTTTACTGTACATTTTTAAAATAGAAAAATAATTTTAAATGCGTATCCTATCGCTTATTCAATTCTGTGACACATCTTTTGGCCCATATGGAATCGTTGACGGGCGGATAATACAAATAACAATAACGATCAACTGGTTTTTTTTGATTGTATATGGATGGAGCTTTTAATAAGGATATCAACGTGCCAACAACGCTAACAAATGCAAATATAATTAAAAATAAACGATCAAGAACCAACGCAATAAAACGCCAATCTTCGGCGATCTGTATAAAAAAAATTTAGAAGAAAGCATAACAGTTTCAATAAAAGTTAGTGACAACGATTAATAAAATTGTCTGAACGAAAACTTTACCTCTTTTTCCACTTTCGCATTTTTTATTTGTTCAGCAATATAATCGATATGATCAGCTGTCACTCTTGCCAAATGTTGTCGTCTTTTATCCGTATAAAATGATGAGAGTAAGTGTTGATAATCATTTGTTGTAGAAGATATATTTTTATTTTTTTTATCTATTGATGTTTTTGTATTACTTTCGACCATTTCCATACAATTTAAATCTGAAAAAATTGTTTCATCTACCAGATGATCTTTACATGAAGACAAACTTGACGAAAACTTTTTATTATTATAGTCTGCTGATGTTTTAGTAAGTTTTATTGGTCGTTCCATAGATAATATTTTTGGTAAAAAACCAATTAAAAATCGATGTAACCATTTTGGTAATAAATTTGTTGGATATCGTCGAAAATGAACATTCAATGTAATAATGGTGAGAATAATGGATAAATTGACTAGAACAAGTGTAAATAGAAGATATTTGCCAAGTAATGGTATTACCAACGATGTAGGAGGAATCAATTCAATTAATAATAAATAGAAGACAAGTAATGCAACAAGAATTGATATACTTAACGTGATCTTTTTTCGACTATCACTTGGTAACAGAAACACTAAAACTGCTAATACGGATATATTTACACATGGAACAATGAGATTAACAATATAAAATAATGGTTTTCTTTGAACAGTACATGTGAATGTCAGATCGATGAAAGTTTCAACACAACACTGATATACTTTTTCATGACGAATGGCACGTAAATCTAAAGTAGAATAAGATACTCGATAGAAGGAATTGTTGTATCTTTTTTTCCGACGTTTCTTCTATCCTTAGTTCACAGGTATTTTAATGCGTCTCTTTCTCGTATTGTTATTTATGTATCACGAGAACAAGAACTAAAGATTTTATTGTATTTCAAAAAAAGTTTAATTAGGTTATAATAATTTTACTATGTCATCACAGCAAAGATACACGCCAATTACAAAAAAGACAAATATATCGATATATCTAATAGATAAGATGGTTAATAATAATAGATTAAGTGATAAACGACCATGAGTTTAATATAAATAAATATATCTATTTACAGAAGAGAATTTAATGTATATGATGATCAATCCGTAACAACGAGCACACCTTGAATGCCACTTGATAGCAGATACATAAGCATTAATGGATATATTCAAAAAATTCTACTTCTTCACGGATAGTTCAATAGAAAAAAAGAACAAATCAACTACAAAAATCAATGATTAGAACGAGATTATAAAAGTAAAGTACGACTTACACCAGTTATCATAGAAGCGATCATTCGAACAATATCATTATCTGACACTCAAATGCAATTATTAACAGAAAATACTTCATCCAAATTGCTAATGAAAACAAAAATATTCAATAACAACAACAACAACAATCAAATGATATCAATCCACAATTATTAGTTTTAAAAATAATTTTTAAATCCACTGATCAACGTTGATATTTACGATAGTACCGACTACTTAAATTGCATTTTTATCTCGAGTGAAAAGTTATCATGTCAGAATAAATTGAATTTTCTTGAAATATTATGTTGTCATTTTCACCATTTGTTGACTATGAATATTTTATTACCGTCATTCTACTGGAAATATTAGTATTTCCAGTGAAATGCAAAGTTTGCAGAAGGAAACAATAAGAGAAGAGACGCATTAGAATGCCTATGAACTAATAGTAGGAGAAATGCACAAGTCTTTCCGTAGATACGTCGATAACAAAGATACCGCATTTTCTCCCTAATAACAATAGTAAGAAATAAATGTGTAAATATTCACTGTCAATCCATCAAAGTGACTGATTATAACAAATTTATGAGCTTATAGAGCTAGTATTCGCTCAAAATATCGATGATAACAGTAATCCCTACACCAATTGATTACATATATGTAAAGCTTTTGAAAACATCATGATATTCTAATTGACAAGTCTTACTTAGAATTTCCCATTCAATAGACGGTTGAAAATCTTCCAAATCCCATCCTTGCTCAATAATAGGTATATCTTCTGTGATAAATATTAAATTGACTAATAAACCCTAAATACACAAAGTAAACTGTCTTAATGGTTCATACTTTATTCAGGTAAACAGCTTACATGATATGTCCATGTACCAAATTTCATGGTACAATTTTGAATGTCAAATGGATAATATTGAATATCAATTGAACAATAAGATTTATAAATCATTGGTGGATTCTGTGTCATTAGTATAAAAATCATTGATTTTTGGTAAAATACAAAAAGATGAAATTACAACTTACCCATTGAACTTGTCCATCATATCGTATCACAGCTTTTGATCTAGTAGTAATCTGATAGTCACCATCGGCATCTTTTAAAACAGAAAAAAGCAGTGTACATTTATTGTCAGCTGTTTTAATAGCATTTTCTCTCCTACTATTATAAAGGACTATATCTGGTTTCCAAATCTGATCGCTGGGAATTTGAATTCTATCAACGCCTCCATAAGCCTTTGGATTCCAAACAAAATTAAAATCCATCCACTCCTAAAATTATCAAAATAAAACTTTAACTACTGACTGATTTTTATTTGTTAAGAATGGATACAGAAATATATATCATTTCACAAATATCATAAATAAAAATAAAATTCTCCATTTATTTTCAACGTCTTCTATATCATTATTCGTTAACAATATACTTCTGTCTCTATGTCTTTGTGATGCATAAATTTATCAGAAATATTTGGTTTAGAACGTCTTGTACTTTTAACATATTGAATATATTCAGGGACTCGATGTTTTTTTTTCTGAAGCAGAGTAAGGTTAAAAGATGAGTTTAGATGAAATTTTATTTTGTAGAGTGCCAAAAACAGTTTGCTAGAGAAAACCAAAACGAATCTCAAAAAGCAGACTGAACGTTAGTCCCACCGACTTTTTACGCCTCTGAGCGTATTATTAATTCTAACTTTCTTACATTCAAATATCCAAATATCCCTGATATATTAAAAATCACTTATTCTCGATTGTACTTCGTTGTATTTCTAGTAATTTGTTTTTAGTAACTAACTGAGAAGTGTTTTTAACCATCTAATTTCTATGATATACATAATCCTATTGTAGACTCAATTTATCTACAATTGTCATAATTTCGTTAGGCTATTAGTCTGACTCTATCAAAAATAGTTTGTTTTGCCCTTTATCAGATATAATGTTTTCACATAGTTTCTTGTTTTATTTGATGTTAATTATAAGAGTTTCATAATCAATGATAATGTTCTTAATTCTTTATTTGTTTATTTAATATTATTAATGATTAATATAGTCGAATCATTTTACATAGATACGATACTAAACCTTGAAACATATTCTGATAAGCTGAGCATGAAATGATATGTCACAATAGTGAGAAATTCTTAAAATCTATTTAAATACAAGAATATATCATCGTAATCAAGTTTAAATTGTAACTTACATGAAGTACATAAACATGTGTTTGCATTATTTGATTTTTTTCGTCCTAGAAAAAGAAAAGCAAAGCAGAATGTAGAAATGATCTCTCTGATTTAGTTAACATAAAAATAATTTGTCTCGAATTACAAAATAGATAACATCATTATTATTATTATTTTGTTAGATTCTATTGACAGATAGAAACGTTCATATTTTCATTCAGTAATAATCAAATAAAAAATGATCTCAAAGAAAATGTCGACTCTTTCTCGCTATATGTTAACAATTTCTTATTGAACAACTTTTCTTTTTTTTCTAAAGAAAAGAATTGAAATTTAAAGCGTAATAGTGTGTAGCATTTGGAAAAAACACATAATTATTGTAAAACTAAACTAACGTTCATACAGTGACAATTCTTTTTTTTTATCTTTAAAGACGTTAATCAAAGGGAAGAACTAATGATGTCTTTTTTCTTTTATCTAGTTCTTAGTTCTTTTTTTCTTTTCTTTCTCCAATATTACACCATAAAAATAACGGGACATATCTATGCTACTCGACGAACAAGTGTCTGTAAAAATATATATAAGAAGGTCATTTTATTATAACTCAATTATTATATCTCAATCGATTACAGAAAAGGCCCTGACTCTTATATACACTATTTTAACATTATGCCTTTACAATAAGAAATCCTCTCGAAATATCTAAAAACCTGTTCAAAATCTATATAGACATGTGAACGAATAACAACGAAATTAACCTTTGTTAAATCTTTTCGAATTGCTAATAATTTCACAGTTTAGATTAAAAAGTGCCTACAAAAATCTCCTCTCTTGCTTTTATGTTTTGTTTTCAGCAATCTACAAGTTCAAATATAAGACGAAAAAAAATACAGACAACTATTTATATACATACAACGTCGGCAATTTGTATTAATTTAAGTCCAACTTTAACGGTAACAAGATCGGAATTGTTTTTTACCGGACGACAATGTTTGTTGTAGTTTAACATTAAATGGTCATATAATTCGCTTGTACTATTTGATTTAACCGAATCTTTAAATAGGAAAGACAAACGAATAACAAGATAAAAAGATCTTTTCTCTCACATGTACGTAACAATAGGATCAGAGATCCTTTCTCTACCCCTTGTTCCAAATTATCAGTAACATAGAGTTTCTCAAACGAATTTTGTTTTGTTTTTTGGGGCTAATTTTATCAATAAATCTCAACAATTGGTTTTTCACATAAATTAGAGAACTTTTCGGACAGAAATAGTTTGAATTATGACAATTTTTTATGTAAATTATAACGTGTATAATATTAATTCATTGTCTTACCTATTATTGAAATAAAATACAGTGCAATAAACTCAAACCATATTTGAGAAAAAATAAAAAAATATACAGAACTACACTTCATTAAACATTCAATTAATAAAAGATATTCATTTACAAAAAAACAAATTGAAAAGTCATTGTTGTATATGAGTTTAATGTCTTAAACAGGTGTTAGAAAAACACAAATATCTGTTGTAAAACTAGGTCGCTGATGACAATAATAATAATAATAATGCATTTTGATGAGTTTGATGATGATTATGGTTTAGAACTTCAAAAACGTTACTTTCTTTTCTTTTCTGTTCGATGTAGTTTACAAAGAAAAAAATCTATCTCACGTCAGAATAATAAAAGAAAAAAAAAAGAAGAATACACAGTATTATAAAGAAGAAAAGACAAGAGAAGGAGACAGAACTTGATGACAATTCCAAATCATCATGTTTTCTATATCTATACTGATGTACCAGAGTGAGTTAACTGATAGTTTGTCTAGAGCATTAGAACTATTCTCATAATAATGAATAATAGTTTCGAAAAAAAAACATAAAGAACAATGACAATACAATGCATTGATGAATGAAAGAGATTTCAATTTGTTCGAAAATGACCGAAAAGATACTTAGCAACATTAGAGATCTTTCTAAGTATTCTCCATAAAAGGTTTTTTTAAGATAACTGAGCAAAAAATCAGTCTTATTTTCTGCAATCAAATTAAACAACGTATTATTGCATCTTTATATGTGCTTTCAACAGCAATATGATAAGAGATAAGATTTTTTCATTTTGTCGATTCTTTTCTTGACACTCATAATGCTTTTCAAAATATAGATGAGAAATTTATGAATCCAATTTTCGTGTGGACAGATCCATAGTCAAGAATGTGTTCGTAGTGGCAGATCATACTCCCTCAGATTTTCTTCAGTTATATCTCTAATTCATTAAAAAATGTTTTATATACTTTTTATACCAAAGCTTTAGTGTCGTAGGTTATCAACTTACGACGAAAGGTCTCCAACTGTCGGATCAATTTTGATCCCATGTTTTGGCCACATTGGCAAAAACTAATGTTTTATCGATTTTTTTTCTTTTCACCCGCTGTAAGGCGTTGAGCAATCAAAACGTTTTCACAAATAGACCTGAGTATTGGATAGCTGTACCAAAAGTTTCAGCCCGCTTGACTCTAAAGATCTAGAGCTACCAAATTTTTCGTTCATATACGTAGTGAAAGGGATTTCATTCTTTTATTTTCAAATAAACTTGGCTACACATACAATACGCGTGTTACCGCATTATGAAGGATAAAAGATGTGGTCAGACATGCCGTTTCACAGTCTCTCCCTTCAGGAATGCTTCACGCCCTTATCAGATACGCCTGGTCTGGTGACGCCTATGTCAATCAGCATCCCGTCTAATTCAAAAATATTCATCAACTGTTTTATTCTCCATGCAAGATCATATCATCACAAAAATTGTAATTCCTCTTCCTTCATCACTTGTAGTTGGTGTCAACAAGCTATCTACTTCGAACACTTCTTTGTTAGTTATCATATTCATTAGTCGAACTATCAGATCTTTTATATGTATCATATGTTTATGTGAAAAGAAAAGAGTGACAGATGAAATGGTGAAAGAAATCTTTCACTACCTATACGAAAGAAAAGTTCGATAGGTCAAGATCTTTAGACTCGAGCAGGTTGAAACTTTTGGTACAGCTATCCAATACTCATTTGATTGCTCAACGCCTTACAGCGGATGAAAAAGAAAACAAATGGGTAAAACATTAGTTTTTGTTATACAGAGAGTATAAATTCGATATCTCGACAAGAAAGAACGGTGGACATAGAATATTTTTAACTTTTTCTAGTCTCATCGAGGTATTCATGTGGCCAAAACAAGGGATCAAAATTGATTCGGCAGTTGGAGACCTTCCCTCGTTAGTAGTTTATTGTTGATTTACATGAAGCATTTACTGGCAATTCAGAGAAATGCTGAACAAATGAATTTTGTAAAAATATATGACGTATAAAACTCATAAAAGATTGCTAACTATTGTTAGATTTTTTTTAAGAATATCTTTTTCTTTTCCTGTGCACTAGAACAGTAGAGTGATAGAAAATAAATTATTTTTCGAAGTGAAATCGATGAAGTATCGTAGGACAACGAGAAATGAACCGGCACATCTATAGTTTCATAACAACAAGAATGCCTTTAGCATTTCCCGAAAAAAAAAGGAGACGGCTAAAGACGACACTTTTTTCGATGGGTACAACCCTCAGTGGACTCTTAGCTCACCACTACATGACTTTGCACGTGACTACTACCGCAATGTGATTCCGTCATGATTTCCTGTATTTTGTTTCCCTTTACTTACACTTACATTACTTACATTATTACAAATAAATACTAACTACTACTATCGTTTGTATTTTTGCAATATTTTTGCTAAACAAGCAAACGTGTAGAGTACAGGAACATCTCAAAATATTGAACACACTTTTCTCTACAATTTAAGACGTTTCAAAGCTCTAAAAATATTTTGGGTCGAAAACTGTAAGAGAAACAAAATGCAGAAAAATCATGATGGAATCCCACTGCTGTAGCAGAGTTACCTGGCCAAGCCGTATACTCTACATAAGGTAAAAAGTATAAGACCAAAAGCTTCAAATATATGAATGCTGGTTACAAATATATATGAATCCACTCCAACGGAGAAGTCTTCCATAAATCGTCTTCAAAATTTGGACTTACAGAAAAGTAATTTCACCATTTATGAAATTACAAAAAAAGTAAATTCATTCGAAAAGTAAATTCACTTTTTGACGGTACCATGTTGTAGAGAACATTGAATTATCCATGTTCACAAATATTCACAACCCGCAACACTTATTCGTAGAGTCTGATATATAATAATATTCATTACACATACATTTTCGTAGGTCGTTAGTACGATTTTTATTTAAAAAGCGACATGATACACGAAGAACTCTCGTTGGGAATATCTCTTCTCAGTGCTATAATAGCTGACTTCTTTTGCATTTGTTTCATGTAGAAACACTTATTAGCCTTCATGAACAGTTTTAAGTTTTTGGTGTGTTCAACGTTTCAACATTACGACTAACTTCAGACTTTTGCTTGAATATCCGCTACTAATATATCTTTAAGAGTTTCATGAGTTTCGAAACTCTCTCAGCTAGAAATTTGGCCAATGTTTTTTTTTCATACTGATTGAATCAATAAGTACATTGCGTATTTAAAAAATGTCAGCTATATACAACTGTTTTCAACAAAATGCATAGAAAAAGTTAGATATGTGTAGATGTAAAAGAATTTAGGAAAATAAAGTAAGAACCATATACAAGTCTAGTCAAGTAATAAACAGTTGAAATTTAGCCATTATTGCTCTATTTCAAAAACCAATGTTGTTCAACGCATTCTAATCGCCATTCAGTTCCGCATATCCAACACCAGACGTAGCCACATCTTGAACAGGTCATTGCATTACATCCACCTATTCAGAGAACGGGTTAACTCAAAAGTGTAACAACTTTTTCACTTTTCTAACCGTCTTTCTCTGTTGTAACATGACATTTGGGACATTGTCTGACTTTTTTTACTTCTATTCCATTTTGATTTCCTTTCAAACCGAATAGATACCCCCAAAACTAAAAATGCAACTACGTGAAATAAACAAATTTTAATAGCGATTACTGAAGTCATCTTACCGGTAATGGAAGTAAATAATTCTCTTTAAGTGTGGTTCTATCTAAGCAACACGGTTTCTCATCATTCCATACACTTTTACACTCACGACAAAATGTTGTCTAAAATGATAAAAATCCTATAACTATCAGACGTAGAATAAAATACAACTTACATGGCATTCAGGACAAACAATTTTGCGGTTAGTTTCCTTATCATCAATTAACAAACCGCATCCACAACCAACTGTCGGACATAACAGGCCACCATTATTGACAACATACTCTTCAGCAGCGAATTTTTTATACTTTTCATACTAGAAAAAAACAAAGATTGTACGGCTTAGGTACTGAAAAACGAAGAAAAATAACAACTCTTACATTTACTTTTCCAATCAATTGAAAATGATGTAAATCTTTGATCAATGTATTCGGACATTGTTCTAAACGAAAAAGAAGATGGCTATTAGAATCAGTCATATAAGATAAAGCACTTTACCAAGACATCCTAACGTATAACCAATGGTTGGATGAAAAACGAAATTTCTTGAATTTAAACTACTAATTGCATAATCTTTGAAACATTCAAGACAAACAGAATGTTGACAATCAAAAACAATTGCTTGATCACTAAAAAATTGACACTCTATGAAGTGACATTCGAAGTAATTTTTCATGAATGTTTATGTACCTACTACTATAGCAACAACAACATTCAAATGCTTTAAGATTCTTCTGAATCATACTTAATGTAGTTACATTTTCGAATTTTTTAATAGAAGATTGAGTTTGCGTATACATCACATCATCAACTGGGTGTATTTTACATCAACAAACTGGAAAGCATTAAAAAACACAACTATGAGAACCCGTAAACCCAAGCACACAAAAAGCATGAAGTATCGCCCAATGTATCTAGATTCGTCAATTCACTGGTCGATGTATCTAAATGCATAAAAAGAAAAGCCATCGAGACATCGCACGTTGAATCTAGATAAATATGGAGATATCTAAATGCATCTAAATACAGATAAATGTTTTTCTCGATGTAACGACATAACATTGCCCATGCATCTACATGAGTAATGCTGTGAACAATGCATTTAGCATCCATTAAGTGGTTCATGCATCTGTCTGACTCAGTGATTCAGACAATACATCTAGACATCATTGTCAATGCACGGATATGCCAGTGTTTTCAATAAATACATTTATTCCAATACAGTGCTCTAGTACGTGGATGGAGATAAAAAATATGCTTATTTCGTGCACTTTTTGTTTTTGACCTACCCAACTTCATTGGATGAAAGTTCTGAGTTTAAACCAAAATCAAATGAGACTTCATCTTTGGTTTTTAGTTTTTTTGGCTCTACCGCATGTACGGAGATGAAATCTTATTTGATTTTGGTTTAAACTCAGAACTTTCATCCAATGAAGTTGGGTAGGTCAAAAACGAAAAGTGCACGAAATAAGCATATTTTTTTTGTCTCTATCCACACACCAGACTACTGTAAGCAAGCACTGCTTTACTTGCCTATTTTCTGGCTTCTCAAGACATTGAGATTTGCATTGTGTGGCATTGGATTCAACCAGATACATCTAGATAAGTCAATATTTTTTACTCTTTTACCTAGATGTTCTTGTTGGCGCATAGCCCAATGCATACATCCAGCAAGAACATCTAGATTTTTCCGCTCGGCAATTTTTGCTTGGGAATAACTGATTTTATGTGAACTAGCTCAAAACATTTGTTATCTTAGATTTGTGTATGCTAATTTAGTAGCAAATATAAGTTTCATCAAAAATAGAAATGCTCAGAACACGTCAAAAAATATAATAGTTCTAAAGATAAGGTTCATTTTTCGGTCGATTGCAAGTGAGAGTACAATCGAAGCTTAGAAACTATGCGAAAAAGCACACTGTTTTCTTATCAGCGTCTATACTGTTTTTCGGGGGAAGCAGAAATAAAAATGTGGCAGATCCAGCCGTTTTAAGCAGAAAAGCTATTATTTCCATCTTGAGATTATGGATTACACTCGGTTTCCTACTTGCTTTTCTCTCCTCAATGATAGTACGAAAACATTGGAGCAGGGGATCAGTAGTCTTAAAAATCGAAGTAAGTTCACTCTATCTTTTCAGAAAACAAGTAAATTTTGTGTGTTCTGAGCTAAAATCGGAGCAAAATTTCTGAAAGTAGCGAGTACACTCCTCCAGATTCTCTAGTCGCGCTGTTGCTGCCTCGTCCTTTCTGCATATGTACTTTGAACTTCGACCATCCTCTCACACATCATTTATTTACATTTGTGCAATTTTTCCTCGAAGGCTTGGTAAACGAAACACCCAGTATAATGCGACTGCTTTTTAGCTGATACACCTGTTAAACTTATACTCCTCGTCAGCTAACTTGACAGTATGCGATAAATATGCTTAAGTAATAGTCGACAAGAGCAGTGGCATAGCCAAGGGAGGGGCCTAGGGGCCACAGGTCCCTCTCACAGAAAGTTAACTTGTACTGGAAAGAATAGAATAAAATATCAGCGATCAGCGACATATGCTTGTTTAGTCTTCATTTACTCTAATCCTTCTTAAAAAAATGTTGGGTCCCTCCCTCAAAAAAATCCTGGCTACGCCACTAGACAAGAGTAAACTAACTAAATCTACAATCTAGTCAGAGTTCTGAAGTAATAATAATATAAAGTATAGGTTGAAATCCCGTTGGAAACACTTTATTTTAGTTATCGATTGATAAATAAATGTGAAAGATGAATGAGGTAAAAGAGAACGTGTTCGCATTTACTTTCAAGATTCAGAAAAGGTCTTTACCTAATCACTGATAGTTGTTGTTATATAAGAATGGATCTTTTATGTTTACTACACACACTACCATAAAAACGCTATGGAAAAGCATACAATTGGCTACACAAACGACATTGCTATTATACACGCGTCTGTCTACATGTTCATAGATGTCACTCTTTTGAAATTCAGAACGAAGCGCGTTCAAGCTGTTTGAGAATAGCAGAATCGTATCATACGATATAATTCGAGATTGGTTGTTATTTGATTATCAATTTTGGAACATTTGGATGGGAAAGGATGTTTTTGTAAATTGGTTTTTTATCATTTGAAAATTTTTTGTACATTTGTCGGAGATGACAATAATTCTTCGAAGAAAAAATATAACTGGAGAAAGTGATAAGGCTGAAGGATAAAATGTATGAGCAGCTGTTTGGAAGGAACATGAGATGCATCTTTTAAAAACAAAGTGTCTGTTAGTATTAAAAATACTTTTGTCGAAATCTATAGCAAATAAAAGTTATTTCCTAAAAAAAATGTTAATTCACAAATGTTTATACGCAGTGTTAATTTTGTTTTATTATTCGACCAGAGTTTCATTTTCAATGAGTGCTTTAGAGGATTTAGCAATATCTACCTACGAACATGTTGGCTGCTTGAACATGAAAAATGAGTATCATCTTACATTTCAACAAGAATTATCTAACGATAAACAAGAATCATCATCGTATCAGATATTTTCAAGTTCGATAATGAATGCTGAACTTTGTTTTCGTCTTTGTCGACGATGGACTATTTTAGTATACAATAACTTGAGATGCATTTGTTTATATACCTTGAGTGAACATCATCAGCTTGCAAGATTAGGTGAATGGACACTAAATTGTACGAGTGGCTATTTTGTTTACGCTCTGGGAGAGAACAAATCGAAGACAAATCGAGCAAAATTTAATCCATTAACAAAAATATCTACGACTGTTTATCCAGCATTTAGTGGTTATGATTGGTCTCTAGACGGTTGTTACTATTTTCATGAAATACAACGTGTGATAGTTGATTTAAGATTTGAGTCAGATTATGAATTAGGAATGCAAGCGTGTATGAGAGTATGTTTAGTAAGAAATAACAAATCTGGATACTTTTTTATGTCACGTAAAAAATATTGTTATTGTTCAGCATCGTTTATCGATGCAAAAATTCTTTTCATCAGTACAACAGCACTTAGAAAATCTTTAAAACAGTGTTCATTTCTAACACCGATATGTTCCGCCATTAAAAATACGGTAACAAATTCGTGTCAACAATATATTGATGATACAAGTTTTGATACATTAGTCAAAATTGATTATAAAATGTATTGTCTCAATAATACATTTGAATATAGTCGTGCTCTTCATCAGTGTATACAATTAATTAGTCTTGGATTGTTACCATTTTATCAAAATTACAAACAATTATGTTCAATAAGTAAAACATTTCAGCTTGATTCAGAACAACAGTGGATATATTTAATAACAAACTATTTACCAGCTATCGTGAATGATAGACCAAAAACTTCACTTTGGATTGATAGAAACTCAAAATATGCCTATAAATTACTAACACAAACAGATAAATCAATATACAATTACTCAAATGAACAACAATGTTTGATTTTGTATCCAACTTTAAATTCTTGGAACATTAAAATTGTTTCATGCCAATATCATTATGCATATTATGGCCTTTGTCAAACAGAAGCAATCGAACAAAATCCGAATCTAATGGAAGAATTTATATTAAAATTAAAGTAGGTATGAAGTTTTTTTGAGAAACTTACCTTATTTACATTACAAAGTCTTTGTCAGAGTGAAAATCATTTCTATCAAAACTTTTCATCTTAAAATCATTCATTCAATTGTTTAAATTAAAATAGTCCTCAATCAGATAAGATCATGAGTGTAGATTTTTTTTGATCAAAGAGAATCATTGTATTACCTCAGACTCGGATATCATCATTTTGAGGATAGCTATTTTTTTTTTCTCAAAGATAGAATCGAACTATATCTTTTTCATTCCATTCACAACACATCAGAGAATGAAGCTATTCTATCTTCTACTTCTGTATATATAAAATGCAACTATATTTCAGTAATAACACAAATCAATTAATGAAGAATAACACCATCTTAGAATGTCCTTCACCTTATATTTCGTTCAATGATATTTGTTACTATAGTCATCAGTATTTTGTCGATAACTTGCGTAAAGCTGAACGACTATGTGAACTACATAATGGGCAACTGACAAAATTTCAAACACACGAATGGGGTAATGTCAATTTACTAACGCTTTTAAATGGTAGTGCTGAAAGATCTTTAAATGATGCTAGAATTGAATTATTTTCTTATCATCTTGAAAATACCATTTATCGTAATTGGACGCAAATGCCCGAAATGAAAAAACATTGGTTAAGACTATTACTTGGTAGTACAAAATCGACTACTACAAGTATTAAAAATGAATGTGTGTTAAGATACTATGCACATGCTTCTGGAGGCTTTACAATGCTTAATCAATGTCAAGAAGCAGGACATCCTGTTTGTATAGCCGATATAATACAAAGAGATATTAGAATTGGTAATAAAAACGAATCGACTAGTACTATGTCACTATCCACAATAGCTATTGTTGAAAACAAAACGGAATCGAACAATAATACTAGTGAATTATTCATCTACGATTGTAAAAATTGTACAGCTGACGAAGATTTATATAACAATGTGACAAATATTAGCAGTCCTCTTTATAGTTTTGACTCAACATCGAAGTCACATCATCTTTTAAATCGTTACACATTTACACTCTCGGTGACTGCTGCATGTGTCGTCTTTCTTTTGCTTTCATTGGTAGGTGCACTATGTTATTTTCGACGACGTCAGTCATACTCATTCACTGCTACTCCAACTCGAGCTGTCACTCTGTCTCCTACAGCCACAGTTGTTTACAAACGTTTAAAAACAAAACAACAATTAAAAAAGTCAAATAAAAAAACGGATGATCAACACTCATCAGAATTATTATTAGATGAGAATGTTGATCTTATTTCCAATGTTCGATTATCATCATTAGAAAATGAAATACATCAAGCTGAAAAATGATTGTAGCTATAACAATATATGCTTTAAAAAAAAAGATTAGATATATTTTCTAAACTTTTTTAGTATTCATTGCTTTTATTCATAAATAAAGTTATATAACTAGATAAGATATAAGGGAACATTACACGTCTTATGGCCTAATAAAACTTTGACAGGTTTATCATCCGTTGAAATTATAGTTCACATGAGCGTATTTGCTATCGTTATTTATAATCTGTTGTAGAATATCCATGGACACATGGACTCAAACGCATGAAGATGTCCATTTCGAAACAAAATGAACTCGGATATTTTCGGAATAACTCGGGAACGAAAGGCGATGGAAAATATGCAGCTTTACCATTTTGTAAAGAAATATTTACTGTATCTTTTGATATATAAGAGATGTTCAGAAATCGAATTTCCAGGTTGTGTAACTGATGGATGAAAAAGAAGAGATCGGCAGACATCGAAGCCAAAGTGAAGTTTTAACTTAAACTACATGATTAGATAGCCTAAAGTGTTTTCTACAAAACTACGCAAGTCCAAGATCACTAGTAACTATGATTCTTGGACAGTACAGATTTATTGGGATCTATCTGTCTCAGTCTGATTAGCTCTAATAACCTTAAAAATAATTCAAAACATAAATTTTCGATCACGTCTTAAGGACTGCACGTGTAGTAAGGGCTAGTTCAAATTTCCAAGGCTTGAGCTTTTCTGTAACGAAAACGCAATTGTAAAACAAAAATTTATTTAGTTCAAACAAGTCAAGTTTAGAATATCAAAGACGTTTTTCCTACTAAATGAAAAATGGTATTTATCAGATGCATTGTAAGCGAAAACTGTCGTTTATGCAGTGTTTTATGAATCATAGCCATTAGAAGACGTCGATAATTTCACAACAGATGTTATTAACACAAAAAAATAACAAATACTTCCTCGAATATGCGCAGTCCCGTGGGAACAGGTGTTGTGTAAAGCACACCTACTTTTTCATAGTTTTATTCTCTGAATCCAAAGGTCCGATTTTTTGAGGGCAAAGGTTACGCTTATACTATATACAGATTTTTCAAACTTAACTTCGAGAGTGTTCACATCTAAATCTTCAATACACCAATAAAATTTTAACATTTCCCCTAAAACTGTACTGCTTCCTGGCTTCAGTACTCTCAAAGGTTCCGGCGTGCTAACAACCGACCGATTTGAATTTACGTTCTATAGTTGCCTTTCTAAGCTCAAACAGAAAAATTGAGAAAAGAGTCAGATGTTGGTTTCCCCACAGAACCGGCGCTACCTCCCTTGTCTAATGGAATCGTATTATTGTTTACTGGGCTCATTTATGATTGGAGAATTAAAGTTAAATGATGTCATCAATTAACTCTTAACTTTAACGAGTTAACTTTCTGAACAATCAGCTTCGTTTTAGCTCATTTAACTTCTGTAGTGTGAACGCAGCCAAAGTCTGTCTAGAACATTATAGCAGCAATCAGCAAAGAGAAAATATATTTCAAACCACACTTGCTTTTTTTCTTCGCCACGGCACTGAATATACGAGTATTGAATTCAATAACTAAAAATACTAAACAATTCTTACCTTCGTATCAAAAATAATGTTAAAATCAACAAACGATTTCTGACAAAATAAACTATGAAGTGATCACTTAAAACAAGAATATATAAACAAAAATATTTTACATCTGATTGTTTTTTCTAACAACTTACTCTTTTGTACCACTGAATCGACCAAATTTAAAACTTCAAGGTTCATTCTAATCATTTAGAATACATTTCAAGTAGAAAATAAGCTTAGAATATTTGCCGTTAGAATTACAACAAAATCTATTTTGTTTGTTTATATCCGGAGCAATTATACCAAAGAAAATTTGTAACATTGTGATGAAAGGCAGGTTCTGCCCGTCTATGTGGGTTACAAGAAAGGATTACAGAAATTTTTTTCATATAATACGGGTATAATATGGTCATTTATAGATGACATTGTGTGATATAAAAATATTAGCGTTTTAAACTGTAATTGGGTCAACGAAGAGCAACATGTGTTTCGCTTTTAAAGGTTGTAATTTCTACTCAATTTTTAGATGAAGTCAAAACCTCGACAATGTTCATCGCTAGTTGTCAAGAGTCAGTGCCACTGCTAAAAGACGTCGAAAAGTGGCTGTTAACGGGTACTTTTGACGGAGTTAGCGAAAAAAAAGAAACGGCTTTAATTTGTAGACCTTTCTGCATTCTAAATAAAGAACAAGGGATGTACCAACAACTGAAATTACCATCAACAGAGCTTCCACTTGCATCTCTCTATGGATGCATAAATGTGTTAGAAAAATTTCAGTTGTATAAATTATTAGAAAAAGAGGTTTAGTTCTAGTAACGGATTTAGTAATGGTGGATATGATACGAAGCGGCTGTCGAAATGTCTGTGTTTGTTTTTTTTCAAAAACTGCTCATTTTGAACGAATAATGTAAAGAGAGCAAAAACATTGCTGCTTTTTATACTAAAAGATGTAATATTCAAGAAACATCGGTTGTTTGACACGATTCTTTTTGCTAGAATATAACTTCACTTTGTTGAAGTAAAAGTTCTGTTCCCTTTAACAGGATGTATCTGGAAGAACAGTTACATGTCTGGTTTTTTTAGGAGAAAATCTTCAATAGTGGGATCCATTAACATGTGTTTCTTCGCTTAGTGTGAGAATGAAGGTCAAGATAATTTTAACCTTAACTATTAGAAAAATCACTCTACGGTCAAATAAGTGTGAAAAGTTCTAATAATTTCTGATTCATTTTTTAAGCATACAACCCCGCCATTGTTTGATGCTCTTAGGTTTTTTTCGTATAACATGACTGTCCCTGTATCACTGCGTTTATATGAATCTCTGTAAAAATCTTCGTTCCTCTTCTTTAGATTCATGTTTGGACCCAAAAGTATTTATATTCATAATAAAAGTGTCAAACGTTGACGGTGGTAATGTTTTCTGTTTTCCTCCACGTGTAAAACAAAACTTAACAAATATTTTTGAAGGAACTGGAAATTATCCTTCCATTTTTCTCTGTAAGAAATCTTGTTTCTTATTCTGTTTATAAACCAAAACGACGATCTTAAAAGATCAAGTTCGCGGGTAAGTGAATAATATGTGTATGATATTTTAGACTAAAACTTCTTTCTAAGTTTAGGTGGATGCCGCGAAAAGTTCATTTTCAAGTTGTTTATTCGTCTAGTAGTGACGATCAGTTTCCAGCAACAGAATTAAACCATCATGGTCCTCTAGTTCAAGGATGGCAATCTCAAAGGTAATTTCGTAGGAATGATATTTTCCAATATTCAAATAAAATCTAAAATGTATGTTTTTAGATTCTGCCCATACTCTCAAGAACTTATTCTTCAATTTGATAAACATGTACGTGTACGAAGGGTACAGTTACTATCACATCAACATCTTATCGGTATAAAAATATATCCGTATTTTCTAATACGCTATTAATTATCACGTTGTTGATTCTATTTCAGCTTCTCGAATTGAGTTTTTTATTGGCGATTGTTTAAATGATGAAGAAATGAGTTCAGAAAATGCCAAATATTCTCGTCTAGGGTAGAAATTGTTGGATCTTACTCGTTCAATTATTTTAGTTCTGTTGTATTTATTTAGATATATCGAATTGTCTAGTAATGAACGAACAGAATTTAAAGCAAGAGAATTAAAATCCATTCATGTTGATGCGGAAGGATTATTTCTAAAATTATTAATACATAAGAATTATGTAAATCGTCTCAATCCATACAATCAGGTAAAGTATTTTTTTAAATAAAAATATGAATAAATCGTCATATATTTATTTTGATTGAAAAAGGTCAGCATTGTGGCAATTAATCTTATCGGTGATGATGCAGACAAAGTAAGAAAAATTTCAACTTTTCTTATAATTATCATGAATATAATATATTTAACTCCGAATATTAGTTTGATACACATTCAAACAATGAAAATCAATATAATGAACAAGGAACAGTAGGAACCAACAGGTATGATAACTACTAAATAATGACAAGTAGATGCACAATGTGTTTTCATTGTTTTCTATAGATCAGATCAAATATCAATTATTGATGATCTTGCATTTGCCATGTATCAAGATCCAGAAATAGCAGTTATAATCAAAAATCTTGATAAGAAGAAACAAGAAGCAGTTAACGGTAAATATAATACAGAGAAACATGCAATGAATTTTATTGATCTTTTTGTTATTTAGAGGAAAAATTTGAACAGGCAAGAAAATTTAAACAAGCTATTCAAGAATTGATTAAAGTTGGTGAACGATTGGCTCGTTATGATGTCGAGAAACGACAAGCAATTGAGAATGAAGATTATGAAACGGCACAACAGAAAAAAGATAAAATGGAACTTTATAGAGCCGAAACATATAAACAATTACAAATGCTTAATTTATTGGACATTGTTATCGTATGTTGAAAGTTTATTTTACTATTTTTACGAGTTTGATTCTTCTTTGCACCTTTCATTAAAAAAAAATTATCGGCTACTCTTTCTGCAAATTATTCGCTAGATTTTTATCCATTACTATCGTAGGAAGGCGGCGAAGGAGCTGAGTTTTTAAAACGTCTACAAAACTCTGAGGTAGTTCACAATGATTCCGATACAGAGAAAGAGGTAAACTTAAAGTATTCACTTTTGTTTGTTTATGCATGTGTGTATATATATATTTGACACTAAAAACACATTTTTTTTTCATAATTGCAATATGCCGTCGCTTTTTTGTATATATACAGTCTATTAATATGATGAGACACATTCACCAGTTTTGTCTTTAACGTTTAATTAATGAACTATACTATGCGAAAACTCTGATAAAATGATATTGTCAAGTGAGGTTATTTTGAATTGTTCGGTTTGTTTTCAGCAAAGTTGTCAAGACAAGCACATATTAGCTCGTTTTCGTCAATTTTGTACAATAAAATGTCATTTGTAGTAAGCGCAAATCATCTTCACAAACACATTTAAATTTAATTGTCTTAACGCACAAATAGTTAGCTAACTAATAAAAAAACAAAAATCTTTTAAAAATTTATTATACTATAGTAGTTTTTTCCTTTTAGTCTCCTCGATCATTAAAACAACATAATCAGGGTAATTATTTGAGATGTTTTGTGTTTCAAATCTTTTTAAAATTTTAGAATACTTTAAAAGACGGCAGCACACTAATATCTAGACATTTTGAAGAGATTTGAGTATTCGACCTTGATATACATAAACCTTCCATATTTTTAAGGACGTACACGTACTAATCGACATTCTCCTGATTCAACAGCGTCATTTGGAACATTACCAACGCATGAAAAAGATACTTCTGTCACACCATTACCACCGGTTTCAAATACACGTCGAAAAAGTCTACACGAAAATAATGGAGGTGACGGTGGTCATAGTAGCGGTGGTTCAGTCTCACCTGACTATCAAAAACCTCCAACACCATACGAAGATAAAATAATACCAACATTAAGAAATCGTAGTCGCGTTGATGGTCCACCCCCAACAGATAATAATATTTCGGAAGAAACAGGTGCAACGTTTGGTAATATACCACAGCCAAATGAAGATGCAACATCGGAATTGACAAACGCTGAAATGCGTGAAGCAAATCAGATGATGGACGTATTCGACAAGCAATTAGTATATTCATCGCTAATTCTACGTATATTTCGAAATTAATATACCTCTTTATTTTAGATTGGAAAACTTTATAATCGTAATTATGCTCGACGTGAAGAGGCACTCGATGAAATTTATCAAATTGTTAGTACATTTAATGGTGACAATCAAGAAGCAAATTCTTATCTACGTGCTGGAAGTTTTGTTGTTGCTCGAATGTTTCGTGATAATGTATTTTCAATATTTTCAAGTTCATTAAAATTATTTCATTTATTAATGAATGATTATATTCGTAAACATCAGATACAACGTCAAGATATTATTTCGTCAATTGAACGAGTTCTTCCCGTATTAATTCAAAGAACAGGTGATACAAATGGACGTTTGAGGCAACGAGCACAAGACGCTATCGTCGAGACAGCATCCTATCCTGAGATAAAACCCTTGCATATTATTCCACATCACTGTGTTATGCCATTTAATAAAACAATAGCGCCCCGATTAGCTTTGAGTCGATGTGAAGTTCTAGAAGAATTAATGAAAATATTACAATTAAAAGATAATGGTTTAAATGTTGATAATGTAAGCAAATTTTGTGCACAAGCACTCGAACACACCGCTGGCGAAGTTAGAGAATTGGCAACGAAATTATTATTAAATTTATACAAGGTATGTATGTACCCGTTTATTATCTTATACAATTTTGTTTTTTGTTATATAAGGTGGAAAATGGTACAATTGTGCGGAAAAATTTACCAGCGGACAATGAGCAAACAAGAAAAATAAAAAAATATCGTGATATATTTGATGCATTTGACCGAGTGGATAATCGAACAACAAAAACAGAAGATAAAGTAAGCTATGTCACTTGCTTTGATTAATGACGTATCCAAGTCTCATTTCATATGAGATAATTTCTTCGGACTGGATATTATAAGGTTGATTAGTTGTAATATTGACTCATTTCCACATTTGATAACGTTAGCGTTATTTTGTAAGATTTTTGATGAATCTAGTTCTTCTAGAAAACGTTCTTATTTTAGGCGTTAAATGATACTTTGGAAAAAGTAAAAAAGAATCCAGAACCTGAATCGTCCAAACGTGAAACAAAACAAGTAAAAGACATACGTAATCAACACCAACAACAACTTCAACAATTACAACAACAAAAAGCGGTAAAATATTTAATTTGTTCGTTTTTCTCTTCTGAACTCTCTATTATTGTAGTTTGATCTAAAATCATCCTTGAAATCACGAACACCAACTAAGTTCGATCGAAAAACACCGACAACGTCGGTAGCCGATGAATCAGAGTTTAATCCGGACAAGTAAAAAAGAAAAACTACATCAAATAAATCGTAGAATTTATAAATATTTTTTTCTATTGTAGTACATGCATCTTTTGTGGAGAAAAAAACGAAAAATTTGTCAATGAAGGTTTAGAACAACATTACTGGTCAATGTGTCCAATGTTAACACGATGCAAGGAATGCAATCAGGTAATGAAATATAATGTAGTATTTTTCATTATATTTTCGGTATTTACCATTGTCTTTGTCGCCTTTTATGTCTAAAAAGAATGCAATAATTTTATTCATAATTTATGAAATCGCCATTTCTTTTCTATAAATCGCTCTATACGACACTGCAATTTCGTTACTGTTGTTATAATCATTTTATACTGAATAATTACCCATGCTGTGTAAACCGCGGTTATTTCAGCTGAAACCATAGCAACACAGCATAAAAAGCGACGATTAAGCGCCCAGTTAACCAGAAATAACCGTGGTTAACCGACGGTTTCCGAGCGTTTTACACAGCATGGGTAGTCATTTATTAGCTGTCAAAGGACCAACCATTCTATTTTATAGTACATATGATATTATACAGCTGTTTGCAAAAAAAAACGTGCACACCTTGTTCAGCGAGTATTTCCTTATGTATGTATCCACTTGGATTGGTTCACATCGTTTTTGATAGCCTGGAAAGAGTACTATATAGCACCATAATTTAATATTTGATTCGTTCATCTTTCGAAGAAATAACAGAAAAACATCTTTTTTGCAAAGACATCACACAATTTTTGACAACATCAACTTTAACTTTTTAAATTCTTCAACTAAAAAATGAATTCGTTTGTTTTAATTTGTTGATATTATAGTAGATAGTTCTTTATGAAATCTTTGTTTCACGATGAATAACACGAGCTGATCTTACACTTTTGCTTCAACAATGTAATATTGATAGATGATGGTGTTTTAAATGAGAAGACGATGATATAATTTAAATATATATATCTAAAACAAAAACAATCGCACTTTTATATAGTCACTTCTTAGTCTAGCTATCGAAGCTTCGTCACCAAACAAATGAAGTTTGTAATTGTCTTAAATAATGAGAGAGCATTAAAAAAAAAATTCTAATTTTGTGCAAGTTTTTTTGCAAACAGGTGTATTTATATTTTTCTGCTTACTTATTTGTATTAAAAAAATGCAACATTTAATGTTGTTTGTACTTTCAGGTAATTGAAATAGCTACTCAAATTGATCATTTATTAAGTGAATGTACAAATCATGAAAAGTATAGTCAATGTTTACGTTGTAATGAAGCAATATTAAAAACAGAATATGAAAAACATACAAAGCTAAAAGAATGTCATGAAGCAAAACTGAATACAAATCGTTGTCCATTATGTCATAATAATATTGATTCAAATGGTGAACAATCATGGCGAGATCATTTAATGAGTGTTGATGGTTGTGTTAAAAATCCAAGACGAGAATTAGCGATTAAGAAGAGTAAGTATTTCTATCATCATTTGTTTACTACATTTAACTTGTTATATTTTAGATAAAGAACATCAACAACCACATCTTCCATCATCACAAAAAGCGCATCATCAACAACAACAATCACCAGCAGTAAATGTCATGAAAAAACCGAATACAAAGAAGGTGACTGTGAAATAAACACTGATAAATTCATTTTTTTTGCTTCTCTGGTGCCATTTTGTTTGTTTTTTATATTATGTTCATATTGAATATTTTTCTTACATCTGTTTTTATTTGTTTTCTATAAAATTCCAAATATATCATAGAATACTTCCTATTTTTATAGCTGTGAGATATAATATATATATATTTACATATATTGTTTAGAAAGTTTTTTTCTCTTGGTGTGTCGTGTGTATGTGTAACTGGGCTTGAATGTATTTTATATAAACTTTTTTTGTATATAGTTTGGGAGATGTGTGGTTTGTGAAATGTTACTCTTTTGTTTGCGAAGATGAACATTACATTACTCTACTTCAGTCAACAGTAATCGATAGAAAAAGAGATAAAGAAGATTCTCTCGACTATTTCACTGAGTAATCATATAGCTAGAGCTGTGTGAATATCCTAAATCATTGGTCTCATAAAAAAGTTTCTACTGAATATTTTTCGATTTTTAATTCTTCTAAGTTATACTTGCAAGCAGGAAGGGGAAAGCCGGCGGAGGTTGACCTTCATCCTGAAAATTTGTCTTGCGTTCTGTACGGTTTCGAACTGTCGTCCTCCTCCCCTTCCCCAATCCTAACCGCTTCTGGACAGCCCTGTGCACGGATCCCTTTGTCTACGAATAAACTTGGAGAAGAAAGTTTAACTGCATTTGCATCATAATGCTACGAAGGCTAATAATACTTTACTTTTAATTCAAATGGAAGCAACATAATCCCAAAATAGTTCATGATCGGATTCGATCTTTTTACCTATTCACTACTATGTTGAACTTTTACGGAGCGAGAACGTTATTGATAGATTAAATCGTTAGTATGGGGTGTCGAAAAGGTGTTATACTAAAAAAAGTGCTTTTCCCCCCCTTGTTTGCAAGAATAGCATTAACAATTTAAACTATCTACGTCATTTATTTTTAAACACGGACAAGAGAAAAGTGTGACGGGGCGTATGGAAGAAGGAATTTGTGTTATCCAATGATGTAAATAAGGGAAGACTTATTTGATTCTGATCGTTCATTGATTTTAAAAAAATTCTTTGCATAGTTTTTTATTTTGACCGATTCTAAATTGGTACAATGAACTGAATGAATTTTTCATTACATCATCACTCGATTTAATCATAAAATGTCTGTGTTCTCATACATTTGATACTCTTTCTACTCTTTCTATGTTTGTCCTTAACTCTGTTACTCTATAGTTAATTTTGTCTATTTGAAATGATAAATTTTCTTCTTCAGTTATTTCACGTATTACTGATTTTTCTGTTGTATGTATATTTGTATTGTTGATAAATGGTGCTAATTCAATTTTAACTATTCTCTTTAAACATACTTTTTCACATTGACAAGAAAATTTTAATTTTTTTTGTGTTAAATAATAATAAATAATTGTCAATTGATGAGAATATGTTTGATAGAGTAAATAGATAACTAATGATATAATTCTCAATGGTATCGAATAACATGATAAAATGAATAATAATTGAAAAATAAATTTTAGATAATTATATGAAAATGGAACTAATGAGAAGAACAATGTCATATTTAGTATACAAACATAGATTAAACGAAGTAAAATGAAGAATGTATGAATATATAATAAATATTTTAATTGTAAAAGATGTTGAATTATTCTATGTTGATTTCTTGATTTTATTGTTCGTTTTGATAAGATTATTGAATTTAATCTTTCTTTTAAATATGTTTTTGACTGTTTTTTTGTTTGTATTCCATTATATATTGATTTTGTTGATAAATATTTTATATTGTTACTTTTTCGTATGGTCAAATATATTAAATTGTTTGTTTTCCAAAGAGTAACTATAATTAATATAAAATAAAATATTGAATGTAGAAATGTTGAAATAATTATTAATGTTAAATAAGGTTGATAATATGTACATCTTAATACACGATAGGATGATGGTAATAATACAGAGAGACGAATATTATCTGTCACATTAGTAATATTACTTAATGAATTATTATAGTTTTGAATTTTTGATTTTATCTGTACTATTGTAGACGTTTCTGTTGTAGAATATTTACTTTTTAATATAGAAATTGGAAATTTAATAAATATTTGCATTGAACCTTTATCAGATGAAACAATCATATTTTCATTCTCATTTTTTGGTAAGATTGTTATCGAATTTAAGTGACTATAATTATGAGATTTTTCTTGTGCATATAAATACAAATCATTTAAAAAACGTACTCTTGTATCAAATTTAATATCAATAGTATTTGATGATTTGGTAATTAAATAAATGTATGGATGCCAATGTTGATTATCTTCAATATATTTTACTAAGAAAATATTATCTTCTTTTAGATGAGTTAACCAGTTATGAATATATACAATAAATAGTAGACAAAAAAATACTATTATTTTTGAATAAATTGTACTTGAATCAAGATGATAATGAGAATAGTAATATCTAATTTGTTTTCGACGTATAATAAATAATAGAATTAATGTCATTAAACTACCAGATTCTGCCGATGATTTGACATAGTCGACAAAACGACATATTAAACCATAAGTAAAATCAGATTTTGTATAAATATTATATTTAATAACAAGTATAGAAGATAATTGTAAAAGATCATAGAATAATAATGCGTATATAAATGGAATGATACATGGTGTTAATGATTTAGAACGAAAATATAACCAAAATAAAATTAAAATTGAAAATAATACAGAGATAATAAAACTTGATAGAAGATGATAAATGGATGTAGAATTAATAAGTATTTCTTCAACATCAACAAATGTCAAATTGTACATAGTTTGACGTTTTATTCATTTAGCTAAAATCAAATACTATAATTGAACGAGATTTTCAATTCAAAGATATTCAGATAATAGAAGATTCACGAGAAAATTCCTTTCAGTTGTGTAACCACTTTTTGAATAAAAGACATATAGACATACATAGTTAACGGTGCTGGTAGATCAACTCGACAAATGTCACACTTTTTTGCTCAGTAGTGATTTTCAAAATTATCAGTTTGTAGATCAAATTTAGTGACTTGTATCGATAAATTCTTTGACTATCGGATGAGTTTCGACAGAATTGTAATTAAATATTTCAAGTTTAGATCCTGATGAGAATAATCTCGCCCGAAGCGGTGCTACTGGAAAAATAAAAGAATAGCATAAAAGTTTATATTATAGAGGTTTGAAACGAGTTTAGAAATGCTAAAGGAGCGTATAAGACTAGAGTTTGAGTTGGAAACAATTCATTATTACATTTATCTTTATCGTTGCCTCCAATTTCTCACTGAATTCATTATCGTTGTTTATCTCGAATCACTCATCAAGATCTAATCTGTTGAAATATTTACAATTCCGTCGAAACTCATCCGATAGTCAAAGAATTTATCGATACAAGTCATTGGATTCGATCTACAAACTGGCAACCTTGAAAATCGCTGCTGAATGAGAAAGCGTGACACTTGTAGAGCTGATTTATCAGAGTTTGATCGCTAGAGGTCTGTGAGAAACGCCGAACGAAACCAACTATGTCAGCTCTATTATCCATGAAATTTTAATCTATCCAAGTCAACTTTCTTTCCACAGTGGTGATTACGGTACGACTTTAAAACAAGATGCGATATATAACAAGATTCATTAACTTATCGTTCTATGGTTTAAACGAATATACTCGAAAAGAGAATACTCTTCAAATTATTCTAGTATTTCAGGATATAACCATTCTGTTGCTTCGACCACTGACGAGTGAGAATGAGTATGATGATGGTGTTGCATCCTACACTGTAAAAAAGAAAGCGCTCTCTGGTGGTGCTGATCCTATTTGTAGCGGTTTTGTTTTGCCGTGCTTTTGAAGTGCCGGACTGGAGAACACATTGAAAAGTGCTTTAAAGAAAACCACTTGCAAGCGCCACAGGGGATCGCTTTTGAAAGAACTCTTCTCTAGGCCACCTTTTCGAACGACATTTGTTGAATTTCATTATATTTGATTATAAACTTATAAATATGATTTTCTAATTTTGTTAATTTTTGGTTTCTTTGAACCATGGAACTATTCTTAGTACCAGTCTCAAAAGTCTGATACTAATCCATAGGCTAAGGCTACTTCTTCGAGACAAGCTTCGATGACTTGGATAGTCATTCAAGAGAAAAATTTCTAAGTTATTCGAAGAAAATCAGCGTTACATATATATTAATAGTAATAGCAAAATAAAAGAGGTGAATGACTTGTCAACATGACTTTAAAGAGTGTCTTTTCAAAAAAATGCTTCATGTCACACTGTTTGTCACAGTGTTTTCTCTTGGGTTACTTCAAAAGCATCTTTCTACTATACATTTTTAAAAATGCTCTCTTTGCAATCACTTTGAAAGTGTGTTTTTTCACGAAGTGTTCTAGTTTACAGCAGATCAAAAGTGATTTATTTTCTCTATACCTGAAAGGGCTATGTTTAGCCATGCGCTTTATAGACAAACAGTTTTCATAAAAAACACTTTTTGTAGCACTTTATTTTTTACAGTGTAGCATCTGATAGTCAAAAACTTCTCTTCATTGTTTATTATCTGACGTTCAAACTTGTTTCATATTATTTCCGGAACATAGTCTCGCTTTTGTAAAATTCTTACTTCTCCGCGACGATCCCACAAATGACCATACATTTTTTTGTTTGAAAATCAAGCATACGACTTTTTTACTTTCACTTCCGTTATTGAGAAAAAGAGCGAATTTTAAGACTTCCAACTTGAGATGTGTGCCCTAAAAGGGGATGAAGACGACTTTCAAAGATCGTCTGCACCAACTTTTACACGTACGTGACTAGAGTCATCTGAAGTATCCCCGATTTCTGTGGTTCTTATGAAAAAACCTTGAGATTTTTGTCTCTTGCTTAGAGGACTTACTTTACCTTTGTTTCCAAGTGATAAAACAAACACTGTTAAGAAGGTGAAGCGAAAAAACTTGGAAAAATACAGTAAAGTAAACGATTCATTTACTATTACTTAAATAAATACTAAATGTTTAACGTATCATCACTTCCTAAACTAAATGTAAATAAATCATTTACTTTTCTACGAAAAAGTAACGGATAAATAAAGTAAATGATACATCCCTATCCTCAATCTATTCATCCCATAACTCTCAAAAGTTTGAGTATTCAAATTTCTACCATAGCTAATTCATATTATGACCTTCAATTTCTGAAAGTTTTGTCTTACTCAAGTACTAACAAGATGTAGAAAAATTTTTCTATATAGAAGAAAGAGATCCTTCGATCAATCAATATAGTCCAAAAGGATCGACTTACCTTCATAATTTGGTATTGCTATAGAGTAGAAAACAATTTTGTCATTGATCGAATAATATGTTGTGTAATGTTATTCGCTGAATATATTAGCGTGACAAAACCGACGAATATTTATTAATCTTAATAAGTTTAAATATTTTTATTTCGTGTGATCGAATTTATTATAAATGAATTTTATTTAAAATGTTTTAGTGTCCTGATGAACATGCCGTGCTAAGTCAGCTATTTTTTTAGTCATAATATATATTCAAATTTTAAATAAAATACATGAAGTTTAACAGTTTTTTCTTTTCTTCTTCTTTCGTAATCAATTTTTCTAAGTAAAACATTGCTTACATTTTTAAATATAATATGTTTTTCCAATTATTTAATAGAGTATGAGTAGAGCTGTATATCAATCGACCGATTGACGATGGCTAAATTCTTTTTTAAGTTTTTCTTCGCGTTTCTACTAATCTCGAAATTCCTTAAATTAATGAATTGATAAAGAAAATTAGAATAGTGCATTTTCGGAAGAAATGTTATTAAAATTCTTTTTGAATCGATCTCATCCCATTCTCATTTCAGTTTGTCGTGCACAATCTTTCAAAGAAAAAGAGGGGGCAAATAATTTTTTTTTAATAATTTTCAAACTATCCATATATATTCCGTAACTCACTAATTCGAGTCAGTTTCTACTAAAATTTGAGTGAAATAACGGTATAGTAGCCGATACAATTGAATGACAGGACTTCACCAGATTCAATCATACAATAAACTAAAAGTTTATAATAATCTTTCAAGGCTTTTTACCAGCAACTTGCAGTTCTGAGTACAAGTGAAGAGATGAATGACGAGAATCTTTTATTCAATTGAAATAGAGAGATTTTAATATGAACGACTTTGTTCCCCAAGTGTCAAAGTAATCTAATCCTTTACGAACACCTGTCTCTCACAGAGAATATTACTATAATTACTATGAAGAATTAAGTCAAATCAAAAAGACTGTTTTCCCTTGAGTACACTATAAGTTAGCAATGCTTCATAATAAATGTTTTACTTCAAAAGTATACGAGTTTCAAGTACGATGTGCATAATTAGTTGTCGATCGTAAATGGATCGGTTGTGCGTTTATTAATTTTCATCATTCTTTAGTATCAGGACACTATCATTAAACAACAATCACGTTTAATATTCGCGGGGGAAAATTACGTTTTAGAATAAACTGATTTCCATTAGAAGTATGATATACTAACCAAAATAAATTTTTCTTATGATAATTCCGGATAGCATCTGAAGAGAAAAATTAAACTATTAAATAAAGTTTATATCAAAGAGAAAAATAATAAATACATGATCAATGTAGATCAGTATAATGCATGACTAATCGAAGAAAGCTACGTCTGATTAAAAAGATTATTCGCTGACAAAATGAATGTTGAAATATTTTTTATTCACTTTTTTTTATTAGAGTTATTTTATGGAAACTATAAATTCTTTATGCATCATCTATCTACGTTTCAACAGCCGTTTTACGATGTGAATCCACAAAATAAGAAAACTATAACAAAAAGTTTATCAAGTATGTACTGTACTTCTGTATGTTTAAAAAAAATTTTTTTAAATTGAAAGCAAATAAAATAAAAACATTCCATAGCACGAGTCTGGAATACGGGTGAATTTTGTAGAAACTTAACATTCGATGATTAGTTGAGATAACTTGTTTAAAAACTATCGTGTTCCATTGATGCATTCTTAAATACAAGAAACTACTGGCTTTATATCAGAGATGTTAGCTAATGATTTTGACTGTGGCTGTATGATAACTTCAAAAATTCATGAGCGAAAGTGTTTTTAAGAAGAAACATAGCCTATGTAAATTCACAGCGTCTTAAAAGACTGTTCTCAGCACGTTTTTGTCAAGAAAATTTTCTCAAACGCGTTAAAACGCATCACAGCACGACACGCTTAGACGCACCCGGGATTCCTTAATAAAACAAAACGCATCTTAATCCAATTTATCACGAGAAATTTCTGAGACGCTTCGAAATGCGCCAAGAAGAGACGCTCCTGATAAACTTGAGTAAACGAAACGTGTCTTACCGCGTTTTTTCAACTAAAATTTGTCAGACGCGTCAAAACGCGTTCCAATAAGTGGCGTTTAAACGCGTTCGGCAATTTTTAAACAAACAAAAAACGCGTTTTAAAGCCGTTTCTTTCTCACGAAAAATTTGTCAGACGCGTCTTAACGTGTTTTCTGCGGAGTGTCGCTGACGCGCAAAAGACGGATCTAATACATTTAATTCAATAAAACGCGTTCTATTACAGTGTTATAATGAAAAATTTCTCAGATGGATGCGCCTGATCATTCGATTTTTTTAAAGATGATGTTATCGAATTACACTTTCAGACGAAAGCACAACATTTTATGCGTAAATTTAGTCTATGGCTGCTGTTAATTTAAAAAAGAAGATAACGTTCCATTTCGATTAGTAATCTGAAACAGCGAAAGAAAAACACAACAGCCGATGAATATCTTTATTAAATATCTATATTAAATTTTTTTCGCAAAAATCGAGATAACATCCCCTGACAGGAATTACTGCCTTAACCGGTCTAAACCGGTCTAAACCGGTGTAAAGTGAATAAGTTTCAACAGAGTGAAAATCCTTTTGAAAAAAAGAAAACGTAGAGTAACGGCCGAGAAAACTCTATTTTGCTAAAAAAAGAAAGGCAAACTCTAGCTGCCCTTGGCACACTTTAAAACGGTTATCAAGTTACTTGAATAAATAAACAAAGCAAATATGAATAAACAAAAAAGCTTCTATAATCCAACCAACCATAGCCTAATATCTCGTGGTGCTTTGAGCTTTAGTAACTATCCTTTTCCGGACATTCCTGATAAATCCTCTCGTTTACTTAAATGCTGTTATAGACAGAAAGAAACCTTGTACATAATCAAATGATTTTTATAAGTATTGCAATATCTGTGCATTAACTTATTTTAACGAAATTTGAAAGGAAACGAGTTACGTTAAAAAAGTATTTTTATAAGATGTGCCACCTAAATATCAATTTTTTTCGACTCTGAACAGATGCCAGTTTGCTGTTCATAAAAAGTCTCATCTCTAACAATACATGGGGAAAAATGTATGATGCTTCTTTAATAATCTGCTTCACCGTTGTTCGGTTACAGAGCAGTATTTTTAGGCGAATATGTATTTTATTATTCTTTACTCATCTAAAAGTACCCATTGACACAGTACAACGCAAACATCAAGCTTAATTGTTGAGTGGGTAAGTAGAGCATGCTTTTTAATGTGTCTTTTTATTCATAGGTACCGCGATCGAATCTGATGTATTCCCGATTCGTCGACGCCTTAATTTTTTTCCTGACTCGTCGACAACATTTTGGGCGGGAAGACGAACTATGTCTGTGAGCCGCCGATACTATAAAGTCTCGACGAATCGGGACTGAATCTCGAATCTCGTCGACTGATAAAAAAGTTTTTTAAAAATATATTTTTATAAAAACAAAAAACGCGTTTAAACATATCTTGGAAAACCGCGGTTAAACGCTAGCAAATGGTGCATTTTCAGAGCGATTAAATATAACATAAAACGTGTTTTCAAATGCGGCTACGATTGAAAAATATTTACATGCAAGCTCGGATGAGTGTTTGAAATTAACGTTGTTGCTCACTCTCTTACCTGCAAGTTGAAATAATTAAATTTACTTGATGTTAGAAGTTTTTACTGATTATTCATATAGTAATTATTAAGCTATGGATAACTGAATTCAATTTGCAAAATGACAATTCACTTATATATATTAATCGCCTAGTTGCTAATTAAATACATTGAAGTAATTAACTAAACAAGATATATCTGTTTTTATTCTTTGTCAATATTTTCGATAGGTCAACTAGTCGCTAGTATAAAGTAGATTCATTTTCGTCATCCAAACAATTTTACCTTTTTTTTGGTATACGTAAGTGTTAATAATATATTGCTATCTCTGCACACCCTCTTCAACGCTAAAAACTAAAAGAGATGTTTCCCTCCTATACGTTAAAAAATGAAAACAATCACCGTTAAGTAACTACAGAAGTAATCAACAAATGACACACTGTAACGGATCTGCTTTCTGGATCATTAATTACCGTTAATTTTTTCTTCCGCAAAACTAATATAGATAATAGAAATGAACAACAATGAATATAACTTACATTTTAAATTGTTTCAAAAATTTCAAAGAACGTTTAAGCATTTCTCGAGTTTAATCAGAAAAATCATTCTTTTTCTTTTCTTTTCTTTTATTGCCTCAACAATTAAAACGAAGACCGATATAAAATCGTATCCGTTCATATTTCCTCTCAACAGGTGACAACAATCGGCGAATACAAAAGAAGAAAGGAAAAGGTTTTTTTTAACTATTGCCCGTTTAGAAAAAGCATAATCCATAGCCATTTTTTGAATAACTTTTGAATAGTGAAAGCTAGAGAGCGGGGTTTTTCTGATATGGAAAGAGAAGATTATGGAGCATCTTTTTCCAAGAGGAAACCTCTTTAGAGATTTTTGCAAGAGATTTCTCGAAAACTCGTATATAATGAAAAAGTTTAAAATGCCAAACTGTTGCTAAAACTATTTCAGAAGTAGAAATTCTAATTTCAATAAGAATTAAATAACAAGTTTATTTTATAAAAAGATTATTGTACACCATGACAGTACGGTTAGTAAATAAAGAATAAGCCTCTTAAAAATCGATTTATACTAGATCCATAGTAAAACGCGATACATCTTGAAGTTTTTCAATAACATCAGAGATTGTAGGTCGTTTTTCAGCATCCGTTTGCAGCATAAGTAACATTAACTCGACAATTTCAGTTGGATATGTTAACGCTTGACTTTTGGGCACCTCGATTATTCCTGATGTAACAGCCAATGCCACACTATCACCTCGAGAATAAACATTGTCAAATGGACCTTAAAATAGAGTTTATAGATAATAATAATATAATACTTTAAACTATTTAATTTACCGCGTCCGAAAAGCATTGCAAACAAAACGCAGCCCAAAGAGAATATATCTTGTGTATTAAAAAACCAAAACAAGAGATATCGTTTGAATAATGAAAACAATATGTTGGCATCTCACCTGTTTTTTCTGTTATAACACTACCTGTCTCAATATGAAACAGTTCTGGAGCACGGTATTGTAAACAACAATTTTCAGCAGCCCAATCCTTTATTAATGAGTCGAAATAGTACATAATTTCAATAAAGAGTAAAACTAACCTGCCATTGTTGAGACTCTTGTCGAGTGTTTACTTTTATCTTTGAAGTTGTCATTGATCCAAAATCAAGCAATATACAATTAGTATTACTAATCATCATGATATTACTTGGTTTAATATCCCTAGATATTACAATTAGATATAGTGTATATATCAATAAATATTAAAAAAACCACTGACCTGTGAGCCATTTGAGCTTCATGAATAGTTTGAATTCCTTCACATATACTTAAAAATAAATTAATCAATGTTCTCACCGTATATCTTGTTTTAATAGCTAAGGCATCGTGTAATGAAGCATCCTAAAATAGATTTAATAGAAAATAAACAAATATTAATAATATGATAAACAAACTTTATAGTACGGAAACACCATATAAATAATACTAATTGTATTCTGATTTGCAGAACATTGTAATTGTTCCCAATAAAGCAATGGTACTAAAATAGAAATAATTTATAATAATTGTTAATAAGGCGCGGCGGGGGGGGCGGGGGGGCGGGGGGGGCGCGGGGGGGGGGGGGGGGGGGGGGGGGGGGGGGGGGGGGGGGGGGGGGGGGGGGGG